TCCATTTATTAATAAAAGATATTGGAAGTAAATTCATTATGGATCACAGTCCTGACACAGTGAGAAAATAGAAATCCTGTATAGAAAAAAAAGATGCATCGATAATCGTTTTATAATCGCATCACAGCCTCTGAATCATAATCGAATGGTGAGGTACCTAGAGATTCCCACCCCTAATATAAACATAATATATATATATATATATATATATATACATACAAACTGTTACTAAAGGGTTCTTTGGATGGTGAACAGGTTCTTCAGATTGATGGAGAATGTGTTGTATGTGGTTCTATAGAGCACCAAAAAGCAGTCTGCTACTGTTATGATGTCAAACTTGTATACAATTGCAGAACGCTTTCTGGTGCTACTTAGAACCACTTACAACAATGAAAGGGTTCTTAAAAGAACCTTACACATGTTCTCCTTTAATCTGAAGAACGATTTCATCCCTAAATGGTTCATTGCATGATGAAATGGTTCTTCAGATTAATGGAGAACGTGTTGTTCTCCATTACATGGTTCTGGATAGCACCAAAAAGGGTTCTGCTAGTGTGTACAAGCTTGACATCATAATTGTAGCAGAACAGTTTTTGGTGCTACATAGAACGATTTACAAAATGGTTCTAAAAAGAACCTTACACAACATGTTCTCCATTAATCTTAATAACCATTTCATTCTCAAATGCTTCATTGTATGATGAAGTGGTTCTTCAGATTAATGGAGATAATAACATTGTAACAATAGCAGAACCGTTGGTGCTGTATAGATTTACACCACTGCATTCAGCGCTTTGCATTGCGCTTGGTGATGTAAGGCTTGGATGCAGCTGCTCGGCCATGGAAACCCATTCCATGAAGCTCTCTGCGCTGTTCTTGAGCTAATCTGAAGGCCACATGAAGTTGGAGGTCTGTAGCGATTGGCTCTGCAGAAAGTTGGCAACCTCTGCGCACTATGCGCCTCAGCATCCGCTGACCCCGCTCTGTCATTTTACGTGGCGGACCACTTCGTGGCTGAGTTAATACCACTGACAGTTGACTGTGGAATATTAAGTAGTGAGGAAATTTCACGACTGGACTTGTTGCACAGGTGGCATCCTATCACTGTACCACGCTGGAATTCACTGAGCTCCTGAGAGCGACACATTCTTTCACTAATGTTTGTAGAAGCAGTCTGCAGGCCTGGGTGCTTGGTTTTATACACCTGTGGCCTTGGAAGAGATTGGAACACCTGAATTCAGTGATTTGGATGGGAGAGTGAATACTTATATATAGTGTATTTTCGGGGCGACAGTACAAGTTTTCTGTCATAATAAAGTGAGTTTATGGGGACAATCAACCTCATTTCTAATGCATAACAGGGAAGATGAGTTTCTCAGTGAAAGACTGACCAATGAAAGATCAGATATGAGAAGTGGCCTCAGCATCATAGAAGGAGACCAGACCCTTAATGATGCTTCACAATTACCTCTAATAATGGCTATTCATATATGACTTGATCCTTATTAATATATATGCTTCATTATATACTGATTAAGAATTAGTCTATCTATTACTTCATTTTGATTAAAGCATTAGTTAAATGTTCATACTTGCTGATTTGTAGACCAGTATTGTAAAGTTTTACCAACAATTATATTAAAAAACATCTGTTCTTCAGATTACACTCATTTACTTGTTTGTACAAAGATTCCAGACACATTTCCCAGGTTATATTGATTTTTAACACACTGAGCTGAAGGTCTGCACTGAAAAGAAAACCAATATAATATAATGTCATATAATATAATATAATATAATGTGATTTTGTATAATTTGATATAAAGAAGAATTGTTTGTTGTATGTTAAGAACTGAATGAATGTGAATTAGAGCAGCTGTGGTACAGAGTGAGGTAGTGATGTCATGGGTTTTAGCTCTGAGCTGAGGAGTCAGAGAAGTCAAAGCACAAACCACATCTGAACACCTGTTACTTCACACAAACATGATTAAAGCTGCAGAACTGAGTGAAACACACTTTTCTAAACACTGTAAACTTCCTCATATTTATCTGTCTGACTCTCAGGAGCTTCACTGCACTGATAAGAAGTGTTACTGTGCATTAGTGTCTTTGATTTACTGTCCCAAACCACAGAACCACTAAAAGAACCACAGAATCACTAAAGGAACCACAGAACCAATAAAGGAAACACAGAACCACGAAAGGAACCACAGAACCAATAAAGGAACCACAGAACCAATAAAGGAACCACAGAACCACTACAGGAACCCCAGAACCAATAAAAGAACCACAAAGGAACCACAGAACCAGGCTGAAACTCAGAGTTGAAGATATGGGTTTTAATATTCAAAATAACTTGTGTTACAGTTTTTTTTAACCACAGTCCAAAACTAGACACTGTGTTCAACAGCTGGATGAAACACCATCATCTCCCAGTCTCAGACAGCTTTAACTGGAACTGCACAGCTGAAGACTGGAAATATGGAGGAGACTCCAGAGAAAGTTCTAGTCTGACAGAATCAGCAGAACTTCTCAGGATGATCGTTTAACTCAGAGCTTCATGATGTAACTGTGAGCAGTAAATAATTCAACATTTTTAAACCTAAAAGTATTTTCTGATAATTTAATGGAAACTTGATGCTTTCATGCTTTAAATCATTAGAAATAAAGATGAACAACATGAACATACAGTTTAAGTCTGAAAATTAGTTTAATTTTATTAATTAAATATTTGAACATGATTCATTTTATTAATTTGTCTTGCATTTACAGTACATTTCTGAAATACATTGCTTGCTTCATTTTTAAAATGTATTAATTTTTTTCTATATTTCTATTTTTTTATGTGATTTGAAATATGACACCTCAAAAGTCAGATTTTCTGACTTAAAAAAGTTTTATTGTAGAAAAATGAACCTCATTTATGATGTTTAACAGGTGTGATGATCAGTGGTGCTGAGTTTTTACCTTCATCATTGTTAGAGGGGTTGAAGTACGGATAGAGTTTCTCAGTGAAAGACTGACCAGTGAAAGAGTAGATATGAGACCTGACCTCAACATCATAGAAGGAGACCAGACCCTCCTCATAATCCACAAACACCCCCACCTTCTGGGGAGCCTGTTTCAAGGAGAGGGAAACACGAGAAGAGTCCAGAGCTTTATATTCAGTCTCATTTCTCAGCCACACAGTCCAGTATCCAAACTCAGGTCTGGCTGTAATCTTCCCCTTCCTGTTACTGGACTCTGTGGTGACTCCAATTGTCCACTTAGTCTTCCCTCTGACCTGAACCTCATAGTAAAATCTCCCTGAGGAGAACCCCTCCTTTCCCAGCACACTGACCAATGGATCAAACCTCTCTGGGTTTTTAGGGAGATTCTGTTCTGTGTCTCCACATGTGACCTGTTTCCCATCATCAGACAGGATGAGGAAGAGATTTGCTGAATCAGGATCCAGAGTCACATCCACTGAGAGAGAAACACACAGTTTAAAACCAGTTCAGCAAAAATGTTAAACTCAAACCCAAAAATAGAAAATGTACACTAAAATTATCAGAAAAATGCCATATTAACTTTGTTCTCTGTGGAGGACGTGTTGATTTATTTTCACTTAGAAAATCAACAAAACATATAATTTAATAAAACCATTTGCATATGACTGCACTATGTGATCAGTGAGAGCTCACTCACCTGCATACTGTTCAATTCTCTTCAGTTCTGTTTGGAAAAGAATAATCGACAATAGTGTTTGTTATTATATTGTAAACTGTACTTAATTAAGTACTGATAAGTATGAAAAACAAACCAGAATTTTAATATTAACACCAAATGACACAGTGTAGTAATAAACATAGATGGGCGTATTAATATTATATTATATTAAATATCTAAATGCCTCATTTACTAAACATTCATATTTGGTATCAGGATCTGAACGACTTCCTGAATTCTCATTTCTGCTGAACATCTGAACATCTAAACCAGTAAATACTTACCGATCTCATCAAGCTTCTCCATCTCCTTACTGAGCTCTTCCTGAAGCTGAGACAGAGCTCTCCTCAGAGTCTCCACCCTCAGATGAGTGTTAATCCTGATGTCAGTCCAGTTCTTGGTGTGTGGGGGGCTGCAGAGGGACGGGTAAACCTACAGTCCAGCAGGAGAGAGGAGAAACCCCTCAGCATGGGGAGTGCTGTCCTGTGATGGACTGCATTACTATTGAGAAACAGAGGGACTCTGACCTGTAGGAGGTGGAGGTGGTCCTCAGTGTGGGAGAGCTGCTCCAGCTCAGTGTCTCTCCTCTTTAGCTCAGTGATTTCCTGCTCCAGCTCTTTAATGAACTCTTCAGCCTGCCTCTCTGCTGCTTTCTGCTTCTCCTCCATCACCTCAAGCAGCTCCGCCTGGCTTCTCTCAATGCAGCGCAGCAGAGCTCTGAAGACCTCCACACTGTCTGCTTTCTCCTTCTCTGTGCTTTTCTAACAAGACACAAGAACAGTGATAAAAACATGATGAATATAACTGCCTTAATACATTAAAGAGTACTCAAACTGCTTAAGTACTCAATTCTGTATCAGTTAAAATAATATAAAATAAAAGCACAAGTCAATGTTTTAGCATCATGCAGTGAGAGAAAAGCCTGTTGGAAAAGTTTTACTAATGCTGTCAGTATAGGATCTACAAGTAAGGTCAGAGTGAAGAACAGAACCAAGGTCTTCCACAGCAAAATATAAATTACCAGACATCATTAGCTGATGTTTGCTGTGGAATTTGCTGCCCTGGAATTTATTAAACTGTCCTTGAGCGTTCTATGGTCACTCATAATACAGAAGAGTAGCAGGAGGCGCAAAGAAAATAAAAGTAGCCCCAGTATAGACACTTGAGGTACTCCATAGTAACTGTCATGCTTTTCTCATTCAAATTCAGCAAGAGTAACATTCCCAGACAGTGCAGTCTAGTTTTCAAGTGTGTCTAATAGAAAGATATTCAGTTATTTGCAGTGCCAAACATGTTTAATGCACCCTAATATCCAAGTGGACGAGAACTGATATTTGTTCTCACTACTATTATGAAATTTTTCATAGATTTCACAGTTTAAATTGACTGTAAAGATTGTGTAGTTTGGTGAATTGATTTTCATTGTGTTTACTATGAGCATTCAGTAAAGCCTGCCGAGTAAATAAGCATTAAGATTAACTTAAGACTCACTTTACTGAGTTTGATTTCCTCAATCTTCTTCAGTCGGTCCTGGATCATCTGCTGAACTTCTACTTGTGTTGCTCCCATTTGAATCTATGATGAATAAAAACAAATTATAACAATAGCTCTCATCATATGAGGAGTTTATTAATGGAAAAGCAGGAGAAAGAGTGAATAATTCACTAAGTATCTCCCACCTTCTTCACTATAATCTCCTCCTAGGAACAGTGCTGTGAGTCTTGTGGTCCGTCTCAGTGTAGAACTGAGCCTCCAGGTTCTCCACAGGGTCCTCAGTTTGTGCTTCTTGAGTTTAGCTGCAGTTTTATGAGGCATCAGATGAGTCTCACAGTAAGATACTCCACAGTCCAGACAGGATTTCAGAGCCTCCAGCTTTTCATCACTGCAGGAGCACCCTTTTGTGTTTGGAGGGTCGTTTCTCTGGAGCTCTGCTGGATTTGACCTGAACTGACTTCTTGAACTTTACAGATTAGACTGGTGACACCTGGCTTACCAGTTATACTGGTTTTCTGTCTTGTTTTGATCTAAAAATGTACAGTAAAATTAAATAACCAACATTTTCTGCAAAATACTGTAAAAACCTAATTAATGAATCTTGAGTAGATATTTTATTTGAAGTTTTCATGGACTGTTAGCTGTCTCCATCTTCATACAGAAGAGGGAAGGCTGTGATTGGCTGAGCTGCACTGTCTGTTAGCCAGATGGATCACCAGAGGGTCCGCACTGGGTCCCAGGGGTCTGTAATCACACACACTGACTTACTATTGATCTGATGCTCAGAAACAATACACATGTTCTCCAAGTTACACTCATTTACTTTTTTAGATTACAGTTCCAGACACGTTTCCCAGGGAATGTTGACTTTAAACACATTGTGAAGGTCCACACTAAACGGAAAACCCAAATAATATAACATAATAATAGGTAATCTTGTTCATATCACATTTGGTTGTTGTACGTTAAGAACTGTTGAATGAATATGAAATAGATTAGGTGTGGTATGAAATGAGGTGCGGTAGGTTTTCAGTCTGGTCTCTTCAATTTTCTCTCATATTTGATCTGTTTTTAATCAACAGTTTAATACAAACACACATGACCAGACTGAGTCAAATAATGGAAAATTAATTACTTGTTATTGAAATTAAAAATGGCTGATGCTGATAATAAAAAATAAATGTATTTGAGATGACATTTTTTCAAGATATTAGCCACAGGTTATATTTTGGGTGCTGTGATTTAAATGCATGGAAATTAAGGCCCCCTATATTGTAAGAACTGTTTCCGATTGTTAATTAACGTAGTTGTGGCACAGAGTGAGGAAGTGATGTCACAAACAGGGTCACTAATAAAAATAATAACCACATAAATATTCACATTCTGTGTATGCAAATAAAAAAGGGTTCCTGACAGAATTGTTATGAGGCCAAAGTGTGTGAGTTTTATCTGTATATAAAATGACTCCTATATGGTTCATCAGTCAAATTTATTCATTTAGTTAAATTGAGACAAATGATAAACAGTTTTGTAACACTGTACAATAAATGTCATTAGTGATTCATTTATTTATTGTTGTTACACTGTTCATTCATTCATTTATTCATTCACTGTGTAGTGTATTTTTTTGGACATACATTTAGTTATGCTCTGCCATAAAATGATAAACATAATCTGACAGTATAAAGTGGACTTATGGAAGTACAGGGTGTCTCAGTAAGTAAGGAAACACCCATATTAAATGAAAACGGATTGGCAGACAGTGATCCAATTTTTGATACAAGCTGTGGGGGAAGGTGGGGGAACCTATTAGACCATGTGACCAACATGGTGGCCATCTTGACTTGACTCACAAAATGTTTAATTCAGATGCTGCAACACCTGACCGGGGAGAATATAGATCATCGGATAGCATTTGTAGAATGAATCACACAGCAAATTAACATAAACGCTCATTTTCCCTACCAGGTCCTGTTCAGTGATGAAGCAGATTTTTTTGTGAATGACGAGGACAACAAACAGCATCACTGATACTAAACCCTCCCTGGACTGATCCATCTAATACGGTTGCCTCACCTAAAGTCAGGGCATGGTGGGGTGTATGGGGTACCTGAACTGTGGGATCCTTACTTCTTTGACAGAACATTAAGTACAAGCTGTTACACAAGGTTGTTAAATGAAGACGTGTTTCCTTCATTGTTGTCAGAGGATGGAAGAGAATATCATGATGTGCAGTTTCCCTAAAAGTGGAGTGGTCGTATGGGTCCAATCGAGTGGCCACCACCATCTCCTTATTTAACCCCTTTGGATTTCTATCTGTGGGGTCATGTCAAGGCTCTTGTTTACTCTGTGAGGAATGTGGTTCATCTTAAAGACAGAACTGTTGATGCTTGTGCTGGCATTCAGCTGGATATTTTGGTGAAAGTTGATCATGAATGGGAGAAAAGGACAGCCTTAACACTCGAACATGGTGGACAGCATGAACACATTCTATAGACCTTATGGTCAATTTTCTGGTTTCACATAAAATCACTGCTTTAGCATGAGAACAAATGAAGTTACGTTGACATGAAGCACACCACAGTTTTTCTGGTGAAGCTCTCTACCCGTTTGATGGGTCACATACCTACTTACCCATTTGTAAAACTGAAGTTGAATTCAGGATGGTGGCGTTCAAGATGGCCACCATGTTGGTGACATGGCCTAACAGGTTCCCCCTTCCCCACAACTTATGTCTGAAATTGGATCACCATCTGCCAATCCGTTTTCATCTTAAATGCGCGCTCCCTCACTTTTGAGACACTTTCAACATTCAACAGGTGTGATGATCAGTGGTGCTGAGATTTTACCTCCATTATTAATACCAGGACTGAAGAAAGGATAGAGTTTCTCAGTGAAAGACTGACCAGTGAAAGAGTAGATATGAGAGCTGGCCTCAACATCATAGAAGGAGACCAGACCCTCCTCATAATCCACAAACACCCCCACCTTCTGAAGAGCCTGTTTCAAGGAGAGGGGAACATGAGGAGAGTCCAGAGCTTTATATTCAGCCTTATTTCTCAGCCATATAGTCCAGTATCCATTCTTAGGGCTGGCTGTAATCTGTCCCTTCCTGTTAGTGGACTCTGTGGTCACTCCTAAATCCCAGTCAGTCTTCTTGCTAACTTGAACCTCATAGTAAAATCTCCCTGAGGAGAACCCCTCCTTTCCCAGCACACAGACACAATAATCAAACCTCTCTGGGTTTTCAGGGAGATTCTGTCGTTTGTCTCCACATGTGACCTGTTTCCCATCATCAGACAGGAGGAGTTTAGGATGAGCTGTATCAGGATCCAGAGTCACATCCACTGAGAAAAGAAGACAATTTACAAAAAAACATAATGTAATTCGGTGGACTGACATATTTTTTACTCATATATATCATGGGATCAGTCACAGCCTACATACCTGCATGTTGCTGAATTCTCTTTATTTCTGAAAAGAATAGAGGAAAATCTAATTAGTTATCAGAATTTAAATTGGGCTTAAGTAAATGAATAATTAGTGTAAACACAATCCAAAATTAACACCAAATGACAGTGTAATGATAGCATGGATTAAATATATAAATACCCCATGTATCAAACATTCATTTCTGGTATCAGGATCTTAATGATTTCCCAAATTTTTCTTGCTTCAAACTCACATCTGCTGAACATCCAAATATCTCTGACCAGTAAATACTTACTGATCTCAGGAATCTTCTCCATCTCCTTACTGAGCTCTTCCTGAAGCTGAGACAGAGCTCTCCTCAGAGTCTCCACCCTCAGATGAGTGTTAATCCTGACGTCAGTCCAGTTCTTGGTGTGTGGGGGGCTGCAGAGGGACGGGTAAACCTACAGTCCAGCAGGAGAGAGGAGAAACCCCTCAGCATGGGGAGTGCTGTCCTGTGATGGACTGCATTACTATTGAGAAACAGAGGGACTCTGACCTGTAGGAGGTGGAGGTGGTCCTCAGTGTGGGAGAGCTGCTCCAGCTCAGTGTCTCTCCTCTTTAGCTCAGTGATTTCCTGCTCCAGCTCTTTAATGAACTCTTCAGCCTGCCTCTCTGCTGCTTTCTGCTTCTCCTCCATCACCTCAAGCAGCTCCGCCTGGCTTCTCTCAATGCAGCGCAGCAGAGCTCTGAAGACCTCCACACTGTCTGCTTTCTCCTTCTCTGTGCTTTTCTAACAGGAAACAACACCACCAATAATAATAAAATTAATAATAATAATAATAATAATAATCACATGTCAAGTCAAACTAATATAAATTGGCAGATATCCTTTGTCCTACATCCAGCATTTATGCCTGGAAAACAAACTGCTGGTGCACTCCACACTAAATGTCATGCTTTCCATATACAAACTAGGAGTCAGCAGTAGTATAATACAATTTAGATATATGTAAAATCACTTCAGAACATATTTAGACTGTCTAGTTTAGTTTTCAGGTCTGTCCAACATGAATGCAGCATTACATCTTGTCCTAACAGCAAGACACATGAGCAAGCATCAACAACCAAACCCAAATGCTCCCATTATAATCAATGAAGCTGTCTACACCAGCTGCGAGTGGCAGAGTGTTATGTGGTGCAATGTGACGCAGTGTTTTCGACTGACACCCCTTTTCTATTTTCAATGCGTTGTATCACTGTATCACATGCACTGTATTCCACCTCAGACTGGATGAAGAGCTCATATACAAAGTGGAGAAAAGGAGGGATCTGTACAACCCTTCCAGCAAACTATAAGGACGTTAACAGAAAGGAAGCAATGTGGTGAGAAACTTGCAGAGTGCAGGAAGTTGGAAGTAAATGAATACCATTTATTTTGTATCACTGATTTATAAGGATACTTAGCTAGAATTAGAAGATACAACCAAGCTGCCCAGCAAAAAAGCGCAGCAGCCACTGTCGTTGAAGCTATCAGCTATTTTATGATTGGTTTGTGGTTTGTTTATGTTTTGTCTTGGTTTACTCACTCGACGTTTTCAATGTAGACATCCTGAAGCCTTTGTGACGCGAAGAGATACTACAGTTAAACGCTTGCTTGCTGTTAGGACACATGTATAAGGAAAACAAAAGGCCCCAGGATAGACACTTAGGGCACTCCACACTTTCTGTCTTGACTACATCTTCCAAAGCTGATTTTTATTAGGTTTGATTATTTTTCTTATGTATTATTATCTGTATTCAGAACTGTATAGTAAATTTGAGATTTAGTTAAAACTCACTTTATGGAGTTCTACTGAACGTTTTATTTCCTCAATCTTTCTCCGTCGGTTCTGGATCATCTGATGAACTGCAGCCTGTGTCCTCTGCAGCTGGGTCTTTTACAAAGACAAATAAACACCTATTCATTAGGAATCTGTATGAAACTATATGTGGTAAAATTAAAATGTCTCTCACCCTTTTCCTTCTACTCTCCTCCTCTATAGGAACAGTGCTGTGAGTCTTGTGGTCTCCTTCAGTGCAGAACCGACACACACACGTCTGATCATTTCTACAGAACAGCTCCAGGGGTCTCTCATGTTTCTGGCAGATGTAGTCCTCCAGGTTCTCCACGGGGTCCATCAGTTTGTGCTTCTTGAGTTTAGCTATGGTTTTATGAGGCATCAGATGAGTCTCACAGTAAGATACTCCACAGTCCAGACAGGACTTTACAGCCTCCAGCTGTTCATCTGTGCAGTAGTTACACAGAACTTTTGTAGGTTTGGAGGGACGTTTCTCTGGAGCTCTGCTGGATTTGACCTGAACTGACTTCTTGAACTGAGCAGCCAGTCCAGAGATGAACGTGTTCACACGCAGCTCAGGCCTTTTGGAGAATTCCTCCATACAAACTGGACACTTGCATCGTGAACTGCTGTCCCAGCACTCTTTGAGACAGACCATGCAGAAGTTGTGTCCACATGGAGTCGAGACTGGATCAGTGAACACATCCAGACAGATAGAGCACTGGAGCTGATCTTCAGACAGGAGACTGCTGGAGGAAGCCATGACTGACAGAGGAGACACAGAGACACCATGAAGGAGATCTGAGACCAAAGAAAACATTCACTCACTCAGTCATTCATTCACTCACTCTTAACTTGCAGGTTCAATCTGAATATTATATAGTATCGGCGCAGAAGAAGAGGCGGAAAACACTGCACATACAGGCAGGTGCTGTTTTACTGTAACAGGCACTTCAACAGAGAATCTTTACAGAGACCAGAAACGCCCAGCCCAGCGCTACCCTAACACAGAATATGGAGAGGGGTAACGCAGGAGGTCATACAAGGAGGGTGGACAAGCACACACAAAACCCATGGACACAATTCAACAATTATGCAACACAACTATGCTTCAAATACACAACAACAACAACACCAATTTAAACTGGGAGTATGGAGCGCTCCAAGAGCCACTCTGCATGGCCACACCCCCTAAGCTCCCCACAGCAGCCCAGCCTGTGTTGGATGATGATGACTGTGTTTGATATAGAGTACATACTGCTCATGTACTGTTTGTGTGTTACCAACATGAATTTCTCCAGTACACCAAAGATACCCGGATGACGAACTACTCCGGCCTAGTATTCCAGTAAGTGGGTACAGCTGTCTCCGTGATATACTGCATCCCACAATGCAACACGGTCATTTCAGGAGGACGTAACCATTGACGTGACTGCCTGGACACTTTTAATAGCTCTGGTTTCAGACTTTCCATACACTAATAACGGCAAAATGAAATCAATTTATCTAAATGCTGCTGCACTCAGTGCAACACTGGAGCCACACCAGCTCTCTCTGCTGGTCTTGAGGTGGGTTTGCTTACTTACACACATAAAATGGTTCAAACAGTAACTTACTAGCTAAAGTCGGTCTCGGACCAAAAAAAAACACTCAGCATTGGCTTTTCATGCTCCAATGTGGAGTCATACCGTTTATTATTCAGTCAAACTGGATCAACTGATGTGTTTAAGGCTGAACACACTTATTAGCAGATTCTGTCTCTTGTACAACACTGAGACTCCATTTTCATATATAATGACTCTCAGACGGGTCTTTAACAGATTCATTTAAAGTCCTGTTAAACTGAGTGATGTGGTCAGCAGGAATGACCATCAGCTCCTTCATCAAACCTCTAAAAAGTGTACAAAACAAATCACTGCAGAAAGTCAGCCCAGTACAGCAGCCGCGCATGCGCAGAGGGCGGACTTTTCCCGCCTGTTTTGAACGGTTTTCCTCTACAGTGAAGTTCAACATTCAGACAGCGGCGTTTTTCACTCAGCACAGTTTAAAAGTCCACACAGTGCAGAAATGAGAGCCACACAGAGGCGGTCAGTTTACCTGCGGCGCTGTTAGCTCCTCTGAGAAGGTCTGAACTTCAGACTGGAGACCGAGTCCCGCTGAAAGGAGCTCAGTTTATCACACAGATCTGCTTTACTTTCGCTTCTCCTGAGTGACATCACGAGGCCACGCCCACCTCCTCATCATCACAGTTTACTGCACTTGCAGGTTTTATCCGCCAGGTGGCGGATATTCACCAGCTGAGTTACAGCAGAAGCACATTTTTCTCAAAATATCAAACACAGATTAACTTGTTCATCCAAGGCCTTGTAGACATTTCTGACTGTGTTAATGTGTCTTTACAGCTCTACTCAGCTCTACATGCTGAACAGGATTATTCCAGACTGCTTCATTCACCATCTGCTCAGCTCTAACAGCTCTATTCAGTCCTGTGAGGCTCTGATGTGTATGAATAAAGGTACGTAGCTCTGTACAAACACTGTGAGCTTTTCTTTTAGCTCCCATTTAGAGAAAAACAACATTAAACTAAATCTATTCAAACATTATATTATTAAAATAATATAAATAATAATCTATTATTAATATGGTTTTGCTAAATTTCCTTCGGGATCAATAAAGTATCTATCTATCTATCTATCTATCTATCTATCTATCTATCTATCTATCTATCTACGAGCTAAAAGCAGCAGCTCCTCTATTCAGCTGTTCACTTCTTTACAGACTCACACAAGAAAAGTCTATCAGTGTTTAATCATTTAAACACAGAGCTGAGTTCAGTTAAACCTGCTGTACAAACTTTCATTCTCTCATAAACACAAACTGTTTCATTCATAAAGTCATTAGTCATATATAACTCAACACAGCTGTACAGATGTTCCATATAAAGAGCATGAAGAAATCAGGTGTGTGTTCTGTTTCCCTTTGTCTCTTTTAGGTGATTAATGAAGGCATGAACTATGAACTGTAAGCACACACTCTCATTATTATTATTACTGTTATTACTATTATTATTATTATTATTATTATTATTATGAGCTCAATCTGTTTGTTTTCTTTGCTGTGCTGTTTTTATGGGAGGTTTCCACTAAACTCTGTATTACTGTTTATCTGAATACAGACATTTCTAGCTTACAGCTCCACCAAGCAGAGTTATTACAGCCTTCCACCAGCAGATGGCGCCATACATTAACATCTACTGATTCTTACATTCACTCTTAAAAAAGATGGTTCTCCAAGGGTCATTTGGTAAAGACAGCTGTTCTATATAGAACCATGATCACTCAAAGGACCATTTGCATGATCAAAGGGTTCTCTGCACAGTGAAATGGTTCTTCAGATTGATAGAGAATGTGTTGTATATGGTTCTATATAGAACTGTTTTGAAAAGGGTTCTATATAGCACCAAAGAGAGGACTTTTATTGTAACAAGCTTGATATCATAACAACAGCAGACCCCTTTTAGTGCTATATGCATAACCATTTTCAAAAAGGTTCTGTATAGAACCACATACAGCACATTCTCCATCAATCTGAAGAACCATTTCACCATGCAAAGAACCATTTAAACATGCATACGGTTCTTTGAGTGTTCTTTAAACAGATGGTTCTTCAAGGGTTCTTTAGTGAAGAAAAAGAACCCTTTTCGTGATTAAAAGAGATGAGATGGTTCTTCGGATTGATGGAGAATGTGTTGTATATGGTTCTATATAGAACCGTTTCAAAAAGAGTTCTATATAGCAAAAAGGTTCTGTATAGAACCACATACAGCACATTCTCCATCAATCTGAAGAACCATTTCACCATGCAAAGAACCATTTAAACATGCAAATGGTTCTTGAGTGTTGGTGGATCTATATAGAACCATTGTCTAAAGAACCCCTGAAGAACCACCTTTTTCAAGTGTATACAGTCTAAAATTTACACTGAAGAGCCACACAATACAAACTGAGTGTCTCACTGTTATTATAATGTAAGACCTGTTGTTGAATGTGAATTAGAGCAGCTGTGGTGCAGAGTGAGGTGGTGATGTCATGAGTTTTAGCTCTGGACTTTCTCTCTTTCCTGGATTCTGGAAAAAGGAGTGGAGGCTGCAGCTTCATTACCAACCAGGAACGCCAACCAAAGTGCCAGAACTGCCACTGAGAGAGCGAGAGAACGAAAAAGAAGAAAAGAGAAAGAAAATGAATAAATCAAAAGCCAGAGTTCAAAGAGACGGACGATGAAGAGCACAAAGCACAAAGCAAAGCTGAACGTCTGTTACTTCACAGAAACAGGATTAAGACAGCAGTACTGGCTGAAATACACTCTTTTAGGACCCGGAGAAACGGTGGGTCACTTCTAGCCTTCATAACTTCAGAACGGTTTAAGGTACAAACATGATCCACATATCAGGACATTCAGCTGACCCGCCCCTAACTAGCAAGCATGACATCATCGAGCTGTGACGTCAGCGTCAGTGAGTAATTCGGCTCGGAATATCACCTAAAATCCTGATATTATTGCTCTGCTGTTTGGCCTTCATATTCCAACAAAGGGTTAAAACAGTGACATGATTAACACATCAGATCACTCATCAGACTCTGCCTCACCATCCAGAGTGATTTCATCCACCTGTGACCGTCCATCAGCCAGCAGTCCAGCTCCAAAATCACCCACAACCCACTCGCTTCTGTTATATTACATCTCTGCCTTCATATTATAAACAAAGGGCTTTCAGTTTTTGCAATATTAGAAAATATCTGATATTAGTATCTGATATTAAACTAAAACTGATATTAAACTCAATTTGTAATTAAAAATAAAGACTGTCTTGCTGTGTATCAGAGTTTTAGCACTCAGCATGAATCCAAGAGGACAGAAAATCAATAAAAAAAATGTCCGCCTTATGCTAATTGTTTATTTTTACTCATAATAACCAAAAGAATGAATCACCATCACAATTATTGCACTTTCAGCTTACAGACACTCCAGACTAACAAATTCTGAAAAGATAACTACAACTGCACTTGTTTTCAAGATCTCTTTCATTAGAAAATATAAAATTTAGCAGGCGCTAGGTACATTTTTGATCAGAAATGACCCAAATTCATAAAGATATCACATTTCGGTTAGCATTTACATGTCAAATAATGGCATATCTGAGTAGCCCAGAGTCTCCTGACAATAACAATATATGGCATGTGTGACTGTCACATGTAAATACTTTATAATTGCAATTGTAATTGACCCAAAAAATACCAAAAAAATCCCTGAAATTTTAGGTTTCTAAGGGTTAATGTTCATATCAAAACAACAATAGGGAAAAACAGTCTCAACAGACATGGCAGTCTCTGGAGTTTAAATAGAACGGAGCAAAAAAACAAACAAACCTTTATAAAGAACAGTTCTGTGGGTGGAAATATAAAAGATGTCAGTAGAGAATGGCTAGACATGTTTGAGCTGACAGGAAGTTTACAGGAACTTAAATAACCGCTCTTTACGACCGTGATGATCAGAAAAGCATCTCTGAATACACAACACGTCGAAGGCAGATGGGCTACAACAGCAAAGACCACATCATGTTCCAATTCCTGTCAGAAGGAACTGGAATCGGAGGCTACAGTGGGCACAGACTCATCCAAACTGGACAGCTGAAGATTGGAAAAATGCCACCTGGTCGGATGAATCTTAATTTCTGCTGTGACATTCAGAATTTGGCAAAAATAGCATGAACCCACAGATCCAGCCTGCCTTATGTGAACAGCTCAGGCTGGTGGAGGTGGGGTGATGGTGTAAGGAATGTTTTCTTGGCACACTTTGGGCCTCTTAATACCAATACCACAGTTTATAAGCACAATTCATGCATCTTCTGATGGCTACTTCCAGCGTGATAATGCACCTTGTCATCAGGTCATCATGAACTGGATCCATTGGACATAACAATAAGTTCAGTGTACTTCAATGACCTTCACAGTCCCCAGATCTGAATCCATCAGAACACCTTTCAGATGTGGTAGAACAGGAGATTCACTGCATGAATGTTCAGCTGATAAATCTGCAACACTTACATGATGCAATCATGTCAACATGGAACAGATTTTTAAGGAACATTTCCTGTTATTTCAGCAAAGGGAGGCTGCACAAAGACTTAAATGAACGCGTGCCAATGACTGTGACACACAGATTTGAGAAAACAATATGTATTTCCTGATAAGATTGCTTTTTTTCCATTGTACTTGAAATAAAGGTTGTAAGTCTGTTAATATTTTAAAAGAAAAACCAAAAAGATAAAATAAAGGATGTTTTTACAGCCTGTTTTGCTCTCGTTTATTAAGGGTGCCGATATTTGTGGAGGGCACTGTATGGAGGAGACTGCAGAGAAAGTTCTATTGTGTACACATCCTGCACTTAGATCAAAACACTTTATGGTGCTTTGAGAAGTTCTGTATCCTGTAGCTTCATTTGACATTTAATACAATTTCATGGAAACTTGAACATTTCATGCTTTAAACAGACTGAAATAAAAATGGACAACATGAACACAGAGCTTATGCTAACAGACATATGTCCTTGTTTTGTTTATTGTTTCCAACTGAACTTAAAAATCAGTTTAAGCTTATTTATTAAACATTTAGAGAGTTTAGTTATTTTAAATTTTATTTTATTGGGATTTGGAGTAAATTTCTTGGAACAAAAAATAACTTTAAGCATTTACATACAAATAAAAAAAGAGATTATTTTTTCCTGACAGGCCAAAACGCTGTGCATTTCATCTTTATATAAAAGACTGTGATTCCCACATCAAATTCATCAAACTGAAGCTGATATTTTGAACTTTATGATGATTTCAGTTCAATAAAAGGAGATCTGTGATAAACAGTATTATAAAATTGTACAACTGACTTACAGCAGAGTTCTCCAACATAAGCGAATCAAAAAATCATTTATTTATTAATTTATTAGCTTGTTAATTAATTCATTAATTACATAATGTTATATAGAATACAAAAATCTCTAGTTATGCTCTGAAACTTGACATTTCAAATGACATTTTTTTCTGACATAAATGTTTCATTAAAGAAAATCACCTCATTTATGATGTTTAACAGGTGTGATGATCAGTGGGGCTGAGTTTTTACCTCCTTCACTGAGACAGGGGCTGAATAAAGGATAGAGTTTCTCAGTGAAAGACTGACCAGTGAAAGAGTAGATATGAGACCTGACCTCAACATCATAGAAGGAGACCAGACCCTCCTCATAATCCACAAACACCCCCACCTTCTGGGGAGCCTGTTTCAAGGAGAGGGGGATCATGGAAGAGTCCAGAGCTTTATATTCAGTCTCATTTCTCAGCCATACAGTCCAGTATCCAAACTCAGGACTGGCTGTAATCCTCCCCTTCCTGTTGCTGGACTCTGTGGTCACTCCTAAATCCCACTTAGTCTTCCCGCTGACCTGAACCTCATAGTAAAACCTCCCTGAGGAGAACCCCTCCTTTCCCAGCACAAAAACACAATAATCAAACCTCTCTGGTTTGTCAGGGAGATTCTGTCGTTCGTCTCTGTGTCTCACTTGTTTCCCATCATCAGACAGGATGAGTTCAGGATGAGCTGAATCAGGATCCAGAGTCACATCCACTGAGAGAGAAACACACAGTTTAAACCATTTAACGCTTTACAACATATAACTGATCAGACTCACATATATATACTTATATACAGACACATGCAAAAGTTTGGGTGCTCCTTCTCGAGCTACATATTCTATTGAAAATAATGTGACACTTCCTCTACAGAGACACACTTTCACACATTTTAAGGCACAATTACTGTTTATTTACTCAAATTAACACAGCAGAAAAAAATAAAGTGTGGCCTGTGCAAATGACACATTTTATACTTTATTTGTTATTTTATATATATTTTATAAGTTTTTCCAAAATGTTTAACTCAAATAAACAGAAGTCGCACTAAAAGTTGCAGAAAAGTACCGTTTTAATTTTGCTCCCTGTAGTCGATGTCTATTTTATGTCTAAAATATGTCTAACATATTTACACTTAGAAAATAAACAAAACGTAACGTGACCAGGGGGTGATCAGACGTTTGCATACGACTGTATGATGTGATCAGTGAGAGCGGCTCACCTGCATATTGTTGAATTCTCTTCAGTTCTGTTTGAAAAAGAAAAACGGACAAAAAACCTTCACTGTTAGAATTTAAATTGGGCTGAATGAAATACTAGATTAGCAAACCAGCATTTTAACATTAAAACTAAGTGACACAGTGTAGTAATAAACATGGAGGGGAATTTTAATCGATAAAGAAATCCACGACTGATTGTATGAAAGCCACATGTACCAAACATTTCTGGTACCAGGATCTTAATGACTTCCAGATTTTTTATTCCTACACTATCTGGTGAACAATGAATGTCTTACTGATCAGTAAATACTTACCGATCTCAGGAATCTTCTCCATCTCCTTACTGAGCTCTTCCTGAAGCTGAGTCAGAGCTCTCCTCAGAGTCTCCACCCTCAGATGAGTGTTAATCCTGACGTCAGTCCAGTTCTTGGTGTGTGGGGGGCTGCAGAGGGACGGGTAAACCTACAGTCCAGCAGGAGAGAGGAGAAACCCCTCAGCATGGGGAGTGCTGTCCTGTGATGGACTGCATTACTATTGAGAAACAGAGGGACTCTGACCTGTAGGAGGTGGAGGTGGTCCTCAGTGTGGGAGAGCTGCTCCAGCTCAGTGTCTCTCCTCTTTAGCTCAGTGATTTCCTGCTCCAGCTCTTTAATGAACTCTTCAGCCTGCCTCTCTGCTGCTTTCTGCTTCTCCTCCATCACCTCAAGCAGCTCCGCCTGGCTTCTCTCAATGCAGCGCAGCAGAGCTCTGAAGACCTCCACACTGTCTGCTTTCTCCTTCTCTGAGCTTTTCTAACAGGAGAGAATAATGACATTGTTAATGTAGCAGCTTTCATACGTTAAAAGTGCTCAATGTGCTTTACGATATATTAATTAGCCTAAAACAGAAATAGAGAACAATAAGGAAAGTAAACACTTTTACAAAGAAATAAATATGAGTAAAACAGGGGATTTTAATAAAAATTACTGAAATTAAAACATGACAATAAAAGAGAGAAAACATAACCATTAGTTGACTTCTTAGTATTGTGCAATGTGAGGTAAAGTCTGACTTTTCTAAGGTGTTTTGGTTACACTGACATTGTGAAACTTAATACTGAGGTTATGTCGAATATCACTCAGGTCCTGCACTTCAGATTTAATATAATTCACAAGGAATCCTAGTTTAATCATTAGTTTCTCCCTCTGCACAACAGGACAAATTTCAGTTTTTCCCTCAAAGACTTTCAAGAAATTTCAACAGCCCTCATTTCAACAGGCACAGCAGAAATGTAAAGTAGCATGTGCAGTTTATTCCACATTCACTCAAACTATAGGTGAGTAGCATGTATGAAGAAAATAATAACGGGCCCACAATAAACCCTTGAGGTACTCCACAGTAAATGTCAAATCTTCCAGCTATAATTTTACCAAGAGTAACAAGATACAGTCTGTCAAGCACATACATTTCATACATGGAACATTTCCAGAGAGTCCAATTTAATTTTAAACAATATGATCTATAATAGTTTACATGATCAAATGCAGCACGTTTAAGAGGACAAACACAGATACTGTAGCGTGTCTGAGAAATGCTTTCGTCATGTTAGTTTTGGGTTTTACATTTCCTTGTAATTACTAACTGGGTTTATTTTGCAGTAGTTGGGCGGGGTTAAGAACCGCCCTGGAGTGTGTATGTATATGCAGAAGAATAGGGAGGCAGATGTGAGCTGGGACAGAGAATGAAATGTTAGGCAAGAAAGCTTCACTCATGACCGGCGTAACTGTGGTCAACAACAGCTGGAAAATAAAGCACTATGACTGGTGTGAAAACTGTTTTAATAGCAGTGAACACTACAATACTGTGTTCTCATCACTAGTCTGTCTGACGTCACCAGCAACATTTACCAAAACTATACCTGTACTATGACCTGATATAAAATTAGTTAAGACTCACTTTATTAAGCTCTACAGACTGTTTGATTTCCTCAATCTTCTTCAGTCGGTCCTGGATCATCTGCTGAACTTCTGCCTGTGACTTTCCCAGCTGAGTCTATAAAAAAGGAACTCCATTATGCAAAGGAACATTTGAGGAATTTCATTATGCAGAAACAAGAGACAAGAGGTAAAAACTCCCTAAATATCTCTCACCTTCTTCACTTTAATCTCCTCCTCTATAGGAACAGTGCTGTGAGTCTTGTGGTCTCTCTCAGTGCAGAACTGACACACACACGTCTGGTCGTCTCTACAGAACAGCTCCAGGGGTCTCTCATGTTTCTGGCAGATGTAGTCCTCCAGGTTCTCCACAGCGTCCATCAGTTTGTGTTTCTTAAATTTAGGTGTGGTTTTATGAAGCACTAGATGAGTCTCACAGTAAGAGACTCCACAGTCCAGACAGGATTTCAGAGCCTCCAGCTTTTCCTCACTGCAGGAGTCACACAGAACCTTTGTAGGTTTAGAGGGTCGTTTCTCTGGAGCTCTGCTGGATTTGACCTGAACTGACTTCTTGAACTGAGCAGCCAGTCCAGAGATGAACGTGTTCACAGACAGTTCAGGTCTTGTAGGGAATTCTGTCTTACAAACTGGACACTGGCAGCGTGAACTGCTGTCCCAGCACTCTTTGAGACAGACCATGCAGAAGTTGTGTCCACATGGAGTCGAGACTGGATCAGTGAACACATCCAGACAGATAGAGCACTGGAGCTGATCTTCAGACAGGAGACTGCTGGAGGAAGACATGACTGACAGAGGAGACACAGAGAGGTGATTAGAAAAAGCATCCTATATTGTTCAACCAGTCAAACTCAACTTTATTCTAGTTACAAATTTCTAATGACAATTAAAAGAAACAGACACTTAATAGTTTTTAATTGCTGAAAGAATTTGAACCTGAAGAACATGATGTAGCCTTTATAAATCAATCACATTCACCTGATTGAGTGTTAATGTTGAGGTAGTTATTCTAAAAGTAAATCATTACATATTACTAATTACTCCTCTCAAACTGTAATGGGATTACTTTACTAACTAGAAGGGGAAAGTTTGTGAAAGCTGGATTGACAAAGCCAAAGATCCGTCCCTGCCAGTTATACTGATTAAAATCATGAACGGCTGATGCAGTTTAAAAACACGAACAAAATCAAAATAAGATCCAAAACCTTGGATTTGGCTTCATTTTGGCTTCAAAAAATTTTTTGATAAATCCAAATAAAACATTCAGCATTCAGACTCTCTTTTCTTCAGCACAGAGAATAAATCAGTTTCGTATTAGTGTGGTTAGATGATTTTACAGTCATCTGTCACAATTAGCACTCAAACAAACACTGATAAACTATATAGAGGACATTTCTGTCGTCAACAATGTTTGCCAATTTTAAAGTTACGTTTGGTTAAATGTCAATTTTGAAAAACCAAATCTATATGTTTAAATAAGATCTGTTTGCTGCCGTTTGAGGATCTGATTGATCTTTCCATGATGATTTAACTGGGTATTATTGGTTGGTTGAAGTTCATTTGTTCCAAAATACAAACATCCCCCGAGGGCAGATTATAATGTTATTATTACTATATTTCCATTTAATCACACAAACGGATGTATTTTATTTAGTTCATATTATGTTGGCTTTAGATGGTGATGCTAAATGAGTTTTAGAGAAGAAGAGACAGAGAAAAACAAAAAGTTGTGAAATTGAACGAAGATTATAATATAATAACAGTTAATCTTTTATGCTGTACATTATTTAATGGTATATTTTACAAAACACATTATATACTACAATATAATGTATTAAGATTTATTGCGTATGAAGAATGATAATGACTAATTAAAATATTCTGAAATATAAATGGATTTCAGTTATTTCTTATTTCTTCTTTTTGTTTTTGTATTCTGAAAACTCTTAATCTGGTCTTGGCTTTGTCTCAGTCTCGACTACTATAAAGTATCGGCCTTGACTCAGACTCTATGAGTCCAGGTCTCGGTCTTGTCTTGGTCTTGCCACTCCTGGTCTCAGTCTTTACTCGGTCTCGACTACTACAAAGTCTTAATTCAGGTCTTAATTCAGGCTCTGCTCTAATGGTCTTAACTACAACACTAGCCTGCACACTGTATACATTAGATCACATGTGTCAGGCTCCAGTCCTTGTGGGCCAAGACACTGCAGACTTCAGCACATCATTAACCACACCTGATTCAGCTCATCAGCTAATCAGCAAGGCCTTCAGTCACTCAGTTCAGAGTGTTAGATGAAGGTAAACACTAATCTCTGCAGCACTTTGGCCCAGTAGGTCCCCAGTTTAGCTGAAAATTAGACTTTGGCTAAAAAAGGGACTGTGAGAAACAATGACATTTTACCAAGTCAGTAACTGTAATGTGATTACAGGAACTTAAACAGTAAAGTGTTACACTACTTACAGGAAACGTGATCACATTACTGTAACGTGCTGCGTTACACCAACACTGCTGATCAGCCTCACTCTGTTCTTATTAACCGTGCTCTAAATCCTCCTCTGTATGGTGAGCGCTCTCTCTATCTGCTCTGAGTCTCTGTAGCTGAACAAACAGTAACAGCTCAACATGTAGAAATACAGGTGACAGATTCCAGCTTTCTGAACAGTTTTATAAAGTAAACAGTAGTTAAAGTAGAAATGTGCTGAAAAAACAGCTCTTAGAAATGACCAGTTTCACTTTTTCTCTCTTGGCCTGGTTTTCTGCTCCTTCAGAGTTTATCAGCAGAGGCTTTAACTCCTTTAAGAAGCTTTGCTTAACTTTCGTTTCTCCTCAGTGACGTCATGAGGCCACGCCCAGGTCTGTTGCACTTGCAGAAATTCACCAACTGAATTACAACACATTCCCGTTTCTCAGTATTTTCACAAAGAAATAAATATTAAAACAAAGATTTTTAAATTCATCCATGTGAAGATTTATCTAGGTAACCAGGCACTACTGACTTTGAACAGGTTTACAGATACATTAGGCTTTTACAGCAGTGCTGGTTTTCTGAGTATCTGATTTTGATATGAAGATGTACAGAATGAGAGTAAATAACCAAAGTCTTCTTCAAAATGCTGTGAAAACCTTCATCAGTTCACACTTGAGTAGATTTATAAAAGGACATTTTATTTTCAGTGTTGAAGGTCATGGTGAAGATACACAGACTCATTTTCCAGTTTGTAAGATTTGTAAATGAGGTCTTGATGAAACACAGTCACAGTTCAGTCAGAAAATCTGAAAGTGACCGACGCAGAGGACAGCAGGGAGACGTCCAGAACTACAGTAGAGCTCTTTATTAGGAAGATCAGTTTCTGTAAGTGTAAAAAACAATGTAACCAGACCTTCAAACATTGTGTTCAACAAAACACCATCATCTCCCAGACTGCACAGACAGCTTTATCTAGAACTGCACAGAGGAAGACTGGAAATATGGAGACTCCAGAGAAAGTTCTAGTCTGACAGAATCAGCAGAACTTCTCAGGATGACTGTGTTTAACTCAGTCCATCATGCTGTTTCTGCATGTAGTGGATCATTTCTGTCTTTTTGTAGATCTACTTCTAATAGTTTAATATGAACCTCAAGCTTTCATGCTTTATAGAGATATAAGTAATCTTTGTTTCATGATCATTCTGTTTATGGCAAAGGTTTTTTTTTCATTATGTTTTTTGAAGGTTGAAAATCAGCTTCATTTTGCTAAAGAAATGTTTGAAGTGATTTTATTTTATTTTAATTTTACAGAAAATCTATTTGAATCATTTAAATTTAGTGAAGGTGGTGCAGGTGGAGCTGACCAACAGGTGAAGAAACTGGCTGAACACAAACAGTCAGAGTTTTTATTACCAATAAACAAAGAACAGGAAGATCTGCAGATGCAGATAAACTAAACCCCAACGTGCAGTCAGTCAGTTACAGAAGGTTGGAGTGCAGGTGGGCTAATCTGATCTAGAGGACAGAACAGAACCAAAGAAAAGAAAACAATACAACAAACTACACTGGGCTGTATTTGAAACATCTAGTCTAACAGGAATAAAAGAAAAACCAACCTCTACTCTGGATTAAACTACTACAACCCCATTTCCAAAAGAGTTCATACACAATGCAATGCAATGATGTGCAAACCATTTAAATCCTAGATTTCATTGAAAATAGTGCAAAGACAACATATCAAAACAGATCTTTTTGTTTTTTGAAATATGTGTGTCCATTTTGAATTTGATGCCAGCAACATGTTTCAAAACAATTGGGACGGGGGCCTGTTTACCACTGTGTTCATCACCTCTTCTTTTAACAACACTCTGTAAGTGTTTGGGAACTGAGGAGACACTGCTGTAGTTTTGACAGTGAAATGTTTTCTCATTCTTGCTTGATACAGGATTTCAGCTGCTCAACTGTTCAGTGTCTCCTTTGTTGTATTTTTGATTTTATAATACGCCAAATGTTTTCAGTGGGTGACAGGTCTGGACTGCAGGCAGGTCAGTTTAGCAACCGGACTCTTCCTTGAAAAAGACGTCATCTGGATGGCAGCATATTTTCCTCCAAAACCCGTATATATTATTCAGCACTAATAGTGCCTTTACAGATGTGTCATGCATGCTATGTGCACTAATGCATCACCAATGCATTGCACTATTTGCCTGTGCAGTCTTTCACAGAGTGGTGAACCCCTCCTCATCTTAACTTCTGAAAGCCTCTCTGGGATGATCTTTTAAACACAATCATGTCACTGACCTGTTGTCAATTAACCTAACCAGGTTCACCAGGTGTTTTTTAGCATTAAACAACTTTACCAGTCTTTTGTTGCCCCATCCCAACTTTTTGAAACATGTTACTGGCATCATATTTAAAATAGACATATTTTTTAGATACAAAAGAATTTCTCAGTTTCAACATTTAATATGTTGCCTTTGTAATATTTTCAAATGAATGTAAGGTTTAAATGATCTGTATATCATTGAATTCTGTTTTTATTTACATTTTACACAGCATCCTAACTTTTCTGGAAACAGTGTTGTACAAAATACCTTCCTGCTGTCTAACCTCGTGTACCTAGACGTGGTGAGAGTACTTCAGCCAGTGACAGTGTTCAATAGTCAAAGCACAGAACACATGTTAAACTCAGTGAAATCACTCTCACTTTTTCTCCTTTGGCCTGGTTTTCTGCTCCTTCAGAGTTTATCTGTAGACTTTAACTGAGTTTACCTGACTGCAAAACCTCCACTCCCATGATGGTTTGTTGCAATTTGCAAGTTTTCTGTTTGAATTACAGCATCCTAATAATTTGATTTTGTTCAATATACCAAACAAACAAACATAAAAACATGAATCCCTGTGAAAATACAGATAAGTAACTCTTTTACAGTAGATCAGGTCAGGGGGTCTGGACCAGTCTCATCTGTAAAGGGCCGGCGTGGCTGCAGGAACACACCTGATTCCACTTGTTTGATGTCAGGCACAGTCCCAACAGTTTCCTACTGCTCCAGACTGACCGCTAGCTAGTACGCTGTAGACGTGTTCATGTGGTCTCACTGACAGTCTCGCTTATGTTCCACATTCAGTCGGCTGCTGTTAGCCAGGCACAGTGAACTGAGCAGAGCATTTCTGGATGATTGATTGAAGGAAAAAGCACTTCATTTAGGACGTCTAACAGGTTTGATGATCAGTGGTGCTGAGTTTGCACCTCTATGATTGAGGTAAGGACTGAAGTACGGATAGAGTTTCTCAGTGAAAGACTGACCAGTGAAGGAGTAGATATGAGACCTGGCCTTAACATCATAGAAGGAGACCAGACCCTCCTCATAATCCACAAACACCCCCACCTTCTGGGGGGTCTGTTTCAAGGAGAGGGTGACAGAGGGGGAATCCTGAGCTTTATATTCAGTCTCATTCCTCAGAAACAGTCTCCAGAATCCATTCTTGGGCCTGGCTGTAATATTCCCCTTCCTCTTACTGGACTCTGTGGTCACTCCTAACGTCCAGTCAGTCTTCCCACTGACCTGAACCTCATAGTAAAATCTCCCTGAGGAGAACCCCTCCTTTCCCAGCACACAGAAACAATAATCAAACCTCTCTGGGTTTTCAGGGAGATTCTGTCGTTTGTCTCCACATGTGACCTGTTTCCCATCATCAGAGAGGATGAGTTGAGGATGAGCTGTATCAGGATCCAGAGTCACATCCACTGAGGAAAAAAACAGTTTAAACTCATTTAACATTTGATTTGCACAGCAAGTAATAAAGAAAACACACATATTTAGTCATGTGATCAGTGAGATCCTACACACCTGCATATTTCCGAATTCTCTTCATTTCTGTTTGGAAAAGAATCATAAAAAATTTCATTAGATTTTACATTTAAATTCAGCTCAGTTAAGTTCTTAATGTACAACTAAGCACAGAGGAAACGTTTTACATTCAAGTTCCTTTAACAAACATTATTTACTGGATTAGTTAACATTAACAAACCATGTACTTCAGCATTAATACATCATATGGAATATAACCACAGCAATAAACAACTGAATTAATTTTATTAGCTTGTTATCCAATAAGCGATAATTCAATGGTAGTAGATCTTATCATGTTACCTGTTATAAAGTACACTATATGGACAAAAAGTATTGGGACACCTGCACATTACACCTACAGGAGCTTTAATGATGTCCCATTCTAAATCAATAGGCATTAATATGGAGTTGGTCCCCCCTTTGCAGCTTTAACAGCTTCCACACTTCTGGGAAGCTTCCTACGAGATTTTGGAGAGTGTCTGTGGGAATTTTTGTTAAAACATCCATCAGAGCATCTGTGAGGTCAGACACCGATGTTGGACGAGAGGGTCTGGCTCACAATCTCTGTTCTAGTTCATCCAAAAGGTGTTTGATGGGGTTGAGGTCAGGGCTCTGTGAGGGCCAGTCAAGTTCTTCCACACCGTTCTCCTGGCATTCGCCAAACCCAGACTTGTCCATCAGACTGACAGATAGAGAAGCTGATTCGTCCGTCCACAGAATATGTTTCCGCTGCTCCAGAGTCCAGTGGCGGTGCTTTACACCACTTCATCCGACGCTTGGCATTGTGCATTTTGATCTGATGCTTGTGTGCAGCTGCTCAGCCATGGAAACCCATTTCGTGAAGCTCCTAATGAGCAGTTCTTTTGCTGGTGTTGCTTCCAGAGCCAATCTGGAACTCTAGTGAGTGATTCACCAGAGGACAGACACTGTGCGCTTCAGCACTTGGCGGCCTCACTCTGTGAGTTTGCATGCTCTACTGCTTCATGGCTGAGCTGTTGTTGGTCCTAAACGCTTCCATTTCACAATAATAGCAGTCACAGTTGACAGGGGCAGATCTAGCAGGACAGAAATCTCACAAACTGACTTGTGGCAGAGGTGCCATCCTATGACAGAGCCATGTACTGAAGAGCCAAGTCACTGAGCTCTTCACTACAACCCATTCTACTGCCAGTGTTTGTCTATCGAGACTGCAAGGCTATGTTCAATTTTATCTCCTTGTTAGCAACAAGTGTGGCTGAAATACCTGAACCCAATAATTAGGAGGGGTGTCCCAATATGTTTGCCCATATAGTGTAAATTCTCTTTATGTCTAGACGACCTTCTGAAATAATGTTTTATGAAACACCAAATCTGCTTAACCCGAGAACCTCTTAATGATCAGTAAATACTTACTGATCTCAGGAATCTTCTCCATCTCCTTACTGAGCTCTTCCTGAAGCTGAGACAGAGCTCTCCTCAGAGTCTCCACCCTCAGATGAGTGTTAATCCTGACGTCAGTCCAGTTCTTGGTGTGTGGAGGGCTGCAGAGGGACGGGTAAACCTACAGTCCAGCAGGAGAGAGGAGAAACCCCTCAGCATGGGGAGTGCTGTCCTGTGATGGACTGCATTACTATTGAGAAACAGAGGGACTCTGACCTGTAGGAGGTGGAGGTGGTCCTCAGTGTGGGAGAGCTGCTCCAGCTCAGTGTCTCTCCTCTTTAGCTCAGTGATTTCCTGCTCCAGCTCTTTAATGAACTCTTCAGCCTGCCTCTCTGCTGCTTTCTGCTTCTCCTCCATCACCTCAAGCAGCTCCGCCTGGCTTCTCTCAATGCAGCGCAGCAGAGCTCTGAAGACCTCCACACTGTCTGCTTTCTCCTTCTCTGTGATTTTCTAACAGGGAATAAATCAGAAACCACTTACTAAACATTAAGTGAAGGGTCTTTAAAAGGTTCTTCACACTCAGACATCTCACTTTCAATCATGGTTCTTTAGGGAAACTAATGCAGGTCTTCTATGGTTTCACCCTAATAACCCACTGTTGCACCTTGCAGAGTTTGTCTTTATTGAGATTCAGTTAAGACTCACTCTACTGAGCTCTACAGAGTGTTTGATCTTCTCAACCTTCTTCAGTCGGTTCTGGATCTTCTGCTGAACTTCTCTCTGTGTCTTCACCAGCCGAGTCTATTATAAAGACACATTATATCCACATTACTCACATTTGAGAAATTTTATTATACAACAACTAGAGATAGTATTAATAATTCTGTCTGAATGTCTCTCACCTTCCTCTCTCCACTCTCCTCCTCTATAGGAACAGTGCTGTGAGTCTTGTGGTCTGTCTCTGTGCAGAACTGACACACACTCGTCTGGTCGTCTCTACAGAACAGCTCCAGGGGTCTCTCATGTTTCTGGCAGATGTAGTCCTCCAGGTTCTCCACAGGGTCCATCAGTTTGTGCTTCTTCAGTTTAGGTGTGGTTTTATGAAGCGCTAGATGAGTCTCACAGTAAGATACTCCACAGTCCAGACAGGATTTCTGAGCCTTCAGCTTTTCCTCACTGCAGGAGTCACACATCACCCTTTTACGTTTGGAAGGTCGTTTCTCTGGAGCTCTGTTGGATTTGACCTGAACTGACTTCTTAAACAGAGCAGCCAGTCCAGAGATGAAGGTGTTCACACGCAGCTCAGGCCTTTTGTGGAATTTCTCCATACAAACTGGACACTTGTAGCGTGAACTTCTGTCCCAGAAGTCTTTGAGACAGATCATGCAGAAGTTGTGTCCACATGGAGTAGAGACTGGATCAGTGAACACATCCAGACAGATAGAGCACTGGAGCTGATCTTCAGACAGGAGACTGCTGGAGGAAGACATGACTGACAGAGGAGACACAGAGACACAGTGACGGTGATTTAAGGCCACAGAAAACATCACGTAAATAAATAAACCACATTAGCATGTAGCGATAGGAACATTTTAACCCAATTTTAAAAAGGGGCACCACCTCCGATTCACCATAAAGGACTATAATAAAAATTCTTTACCTTTGTTTTTTTTAACCTGGTCTGCATAACATAATAAATGAAGGACGTTATGGACGTACAGTTTCACAAGATCACACTAATAAGGTTTGAATCATTTTCATATACTCTCATGCAAATATGTTCCAGGACTGCAGAGGATATTAGGACACACAGTGTATTTAAACTATAATGTTTTACAGTGTTTTACAGTTTAAAGTTCGAGTATTGTGTTAAAGTACTGAGTAAATAATAGTTGTTTGTCGAAAACAAACTAAATCTGTAAATATTTTAGATAAAATTTTCAGGTTATTTTCTGTGCTTTGTTTTTAGCTGATACATCGCTGTATCTGCGCTCGACTCTCTGGGCTGCTTAAACACCGCGTGCGCGCGCGTGGCGGGAACTGGCGGGAACAGATCTCCCCTGGACTGTGTTAGTGAAGCCCACCGAGCCTGGAGTCCACTGAGACCCTGATTAAGCGAGTCTAACTCAGATAAGCTCAGCTTTTATGAGCTCGATCATTAAACCCCCCTGGTCTGTCGGACTCTGTGGAACCGGGATAAGTCCTGTGAACAGGGTCAGTTCTTGGAATCCCTTAATGACCCTTAATGGCCGTCTTCACTACAGGCATCACTGATCATCCTCACATTTTACCAACCCAGGTGTGAAATACTGGGGGTCTTGGGGGTCTAAGCCTTCCTAATTAACCTCTCGGACCCCTTGAATGTCTCTAAATCCAGATTCTGAGGGTCCCTGAAAATAAACTAATGATGAAGTTATTCTGTCCATCAGAGAAATCAAACACTAATTCAGGGAAAGTTCACTGTTTAGCTGCTTCACCCACAACCAGCGAGCTTCCATCACTGGTGCTCTCAACTGACTAGAGCTGCAGCGCTGCTCTGCCTCAGGGTGGCGCTGTAGCAGACTGGTTCACTCAGTTGGTCCTTCATAGCCTAGAAACTGTAAATACATCTGGAAACCTGCCGTAACATATTTGTGAATCTGAAAACTTTCCCAATTTCCCACAAGACTGGTGGAAAGAGGGAACTCCTTGCTGGAAAAGGAACTGAAGCATTTGGACTGAAACCCAATGGTTCTGCTTTCTGATGGGAATCGACTCAATTGTTTCCAAAATAGACCACTAGATTCCTGCAGAACACCATCAGATCCCATTAGGAAACCATCTAAATGCATTTAGAATCAGCCGTTGGTCACCTGTTAAACCATTAGGATGAAATCAACCCATCAAAAAAGCCAAAACATGTTACAAAACCATCAGGAACCAACAGAAACACTTAATGGTTTCTATTTTTTCAGCAGGGCTGTAACTCATTTCTCAAACCGAAGAGAAAAGAGGAGATGTGTAAGACCTTCATCACTGTTTGAAAGACCTTCCAAACTAGAATAGATCATTTCCAAAATCAGATTTACTGAACCGGACATTTTGTTGCTAATGAAGCATCGCTCAGCAGAGAGTGAGTGGGCAGCCAGCCAACATGGGACCCTCCAAGTACCAGGGGGCTTTTCACACAATGTTACCCAGTAAACATGCACTGAAACCTGCTGTTTGGGTTGAGGGCACCTTTAATCTGCTCTGGCGCTCTATAAAATGGTAGAAAGTCAACAATAAACAGGATTTAGATCAGTTAAAAACAACAGAAGGAGTTTATCAGTAATTACCAGCATCAGCAGTTTCACTGTCCTCCTCACTCGGCCTGCTTTTCTGCTCCTCTACAGTTCAGATGCAGCAGATCAGCTCCTCTAAGAGAGACTTCAGACTTCAGACTGAAAGAATCTGAACTGGACTGTTAATGAAGCGGCTTTGCTCCTGCGTGACGTCACGAGGCCACGCCCACCATCCCAGGACTGTTCTTTGTTGTATTTGCAGGTTTCACTGCCTGAATTACAGCCTCCCAACACGCACATTTTTTATTGGAACACAAACAATAAATAAACACAAACAAACAAATAACATATTGTGAAAAACACATTTTTTACATTAGGCACTTCATTTACAGTGCAGGCTCACTTTTGTGCTGCTGCTCTGAGAATCTGATTATGAACTAAAAATGCATGAACTGAATGTCAATATAAGTCAGTATACACACTATGGAGATATATACACGCTGTAGATCTACTATATATATTACAAAATGTGCATTTAATGTTTTATACTTTTGTACTTATATATCCTTATATTTATTCTGCTACACTAAATTACTGGCCATTTATATACTGTAGAGAATCCACTCATATGCATGTATTAATGAATCAGATACACCGATCAGGCATAACATTATGACCACCTCCTTGTTTCTGCGCTCATTGTCCATTTTATCAGCTCCACTTACTATATAGGTGCACTTTGTAGTTCTACAGTTACAGACTGTAGTCCATCTGTTTCTCTGCATACTATGCTAGCCCCCTTTTACCCTGTCCTTCAGTGGTCAGGACCCCCATGGACCCTCACAGAGCAGGTATTATTTGGGTGGTGGATCATTCTCAGCGGGGGTACTGATTGTGGGTTGGTGGTCACAGTCACTGACCTATAGTCTAGCTACACGCTGAATTCAGAGCAGAGAAAATTCAGTTTTTCAGTGCAAAAAAGAGACACACGATTTTTCCAGACCAGCACTCATGAGTTTAGTGCACACCTGAACACAAAAACATTAAACGAGTCCTCAAATCAAAAGTACTATTAGTAATAGTAGTAGTTTATGTTCCCTTAGTTATTATACAGTATTTTCTCTTGAATATGAGTTAACAGGTTTGGTTTCTTGTCTGATTTATTTAGTATGTTTTGTCATTCATGTCTGCACTCAGTAAGAAGAATGACTTGTATCTGTAACAAACACAGCAAATTAAGCCGATTCTGATTCACCTTAAAGCAAACGGTGGCCTGTTCAGTCACATCATAACAACAGCAAACAAAAACTAAAAACACGACAGCATTAAGGGAGACTAAACATATAAAGAGAACATAAAAAACATTAAAGGAGAACCCAAAAACAAAAGGAAGAATGCAAACACATTAAAGGAGAACCCTAAAACAAAAAGAAGAATGCAAACACATTAAGGGAGAACCCAAAAACAAAAGGATGAATGCAAACACATTAAGAGAGAACCCAAACACAAAAGGATGAATGCAAACACATTAAGGGAGAACCCAAAAACAAAAGGAAGAATGCAAACACATTAAAGGAGAACCCAAAAACAAAAGGATGAATGCAAACACATTAAGGGAGAACCCAAAAACAAAAGGAAGAATGCAAACACATTAAAGGAGAACCCAAAAACAAAAGGATGAATGCAAACACATTAAGGGAGAACCCAAAAACAAAAGGATGAATGCAAACACATTAAGAGAGAACCCAAACACAAAAGGATGAATGCAAACACATTAAGGGAGAACCCAAAAACAAAAGGATGAATTCATTTTAAGAATAAATCTCTCTTATTAAAATGGTTTGATGATGATATTATATTAATGAATCGACTCTTCAGTGCTGATAGTTTTACTGACATATAGAGAATGTCTTAATACATTTGGAGCGTTTGGAGCAAATTAAGCCGATTCTGATTCACCTTAAAGCAAACGGTGGCCTGTTCAGTCACATCATAACAACAGTTACAAAGCAAAAACTAAGAACACAACAACATTAAGAGAGACTAAACATATAAAGAGAACATAAAAAACATTAAATGAGAACCTAAAAACAAAAGGATGAATACAAACACGTTAAGAGAGAACCCAAAAACAAAAGGAAGAATGCAAACACATTAAAGGAGAACCTAAAACAAAAAGAAGAATGCAAACACATTAAGGGAGAACCCAAAAACAAAAGGATGAATGCAAACACATTAAGAGAGAACCCAAACACAAAAGGATGAATGCAAACACATTAAGGGAGAACCCAAAAACAAAAGGATGAATGCAAACACATTAAAGGAGAACCCAAAAACAAAAGGATGAATGCAAACACATTAAGGGAGAACCCAAAAACAAAAGGAAGAATGCAAACACATTAAAGGAGAACCCAAAAACAAAAGGATGAATGCAAACACATTAAGGGAGAACCCAAAAACAAAAGGATGAATGCAAACACATTAAGGGAGAACCCAAAAACAAAAGGATGAATGCAAACACATTAAGGGAGAACCCAAAAACAAAAGGATGAATTCATTTTAAGAATAAATCTCTCTTATTAAAATGGTTTGATGATGATATTATATTAATGAATCGACTCTTCAGTGCTGATAGTTTTACTGACATATAGAGAATGTCTTAATACATTTGGAGCGTCAGTCACAGCCAAAGAATATGCTGCAGTTTTAATGCTGCACCACAACAAACAGTGCAGCTTCTTCAGGGTCCAGTAAACAGTGATGTGGGTGTTGTGGTCAGGGGTCTTTAATTAAAATCCAATGAGGTCCAGTTAGAGAAAAGTTCCTCAGGTGAAGATCCGGACCATCATAATGTCTGACCTGCATCATGACTCAGTGCCATATACTGTTTACTGAAGTGGCCCAGTAGGTTTATCAGCATCTCACACAGTCAACAGCTGAATGTCCAGTCAAATAAAGTCCAGTTCGGTCATCTTTCAGCAACATTTACTGTCCGTTTTCTCTTTTTAGAGATCGTCATATGAAATAACTCCCTCTAACTTTCTTCTCCGACTCCTCGACCCTCCGCTGTGCGAGAGACTCTCTCGAGTCTTAGTGCGCATCGTAATGCTCAGATCTGATTGGCTGAGTAGCGTCATGTGTAATATTTACAACGCATGTGATTGGTCTATGAGTCTCCCGGGCCGCTAAAGCTACCGTAAAGGCTGGAAAAGCTACACCTATTAAAATAGTAAAACCCCGTCGAAATGAAATAATTCTCCATAGTTTGTCGGTTACAGGTCCAGGTCCGCATAGGACAGCGCCTGGATCTGGACTCGGACCGCGGTCCGCCAATTAGTGACCTCTGTTGTAGGGGATGATCTTTTATTGGGAAACTGATCTCCTTAAATATAAAGGTACAAACAAAGATATTAAAGTCAAATCTAATGACAGAATTTACAAACAACCATATCGGTCTTTTGTATTTGGGACATAAATTAGAATAAAGCCTGAACAATTTGTGATAAATATGCAATATTGTATAAATAATAAAAGAAGGGACTTTTACACAATCTTTACCCTGTTAAAGGTGTTTTAGAGATTTATAATTATTAATGAATATTTCTGTGTCTTTTATGGTTTAGAAAAGAAACAAGCATCCGTCTGTTTTTCAGCGTATTTATACTAAAGTGTTTTGGATTGGTGTGGAATATTCTGTGAGATGAAAGACTGGACACTGTGTTTCACTGGATGTTTCAGATGTTATTGGTTATTTTTCTATGGACAGATTAGATGTTGAAGTAATTTTTGTACAATTCTTAATTATTATGTAAATATAATTCACATACGAAGAGAATATAAGCCGAACTCTACACACCGTTAGATTAAGGAATATGGCAGTATTTTAAAAACATAAAGGACAAGAAAGCAACAAGGACTTTGGAATTATATATTATTTATGATTTAATAATGATTCAGTGTGTAAGTCCACTCCTGGCTCTTGGTTGTTGTATGTTATGTTGTTGTATACTTGTTGTATATATACATAAATCTGCCAAAATAATGACAGAGCACCCCAAATATTTTCCACCTGCCAAAGCACCTCTTCCCCTGCCAAGTCCAACCAAAATCCACCCAATCTGGCAACACTGATCACAATATAAGCTCTATACAGTTTGTTAGTCACATGACTCTGGATGACTTAGTGATTCACAAATGTGACAATACAAAACAACAGTTCACAAGAAATCAACAACATATAAACCAATAAAAATGAATTTATAAACAAACTGATGATGCCAGTGTCAAATTTCTAAGGTCACAAGGTTAATACCTATGAAGTAAACACTAGAGGGCGCCAATCTCATCATGTAGGTCTGTAGAAATGGGCTAAAATCAAGATCTTCATTTAATTCAAGAGAAAAGTACCTTTTAATTTATAGATGTAAAAAGTCTCTGTTCTCTGTTCTCTTTCCTACGAGTATCTGGAACATATTCAATATCTAATATTCTAAGCGTATTATAGGACTTAGAGGTAGAACACAAATACGCCATCAGGGAAGGTGATCAGATACACACCCTGACAATGAAAACAGAAACTGTGCTCCTCCTCTTTCTCTCTCTCTCTGTCTTTGGTCAGGTCCGTTGAGGTGATGCTCTGTCTCCAGTGTGACATCATCATACAGAAGAAGGGAGGCTGTGATTGGCTGAGCTGCACTGTCTGGGTCCACACTGGGGTCCGTAACCACACACTGACTTATTATTGATCTACTGCTGAGAAAAACATGGTTTTGAGGATTTACTTGCTTTAATAGCTTCTATATCTTTTACATAAAGATTTCAGGAACATTTATCAGTGATTGTTGTTCTTTAGTATATTGTGGTGAATCTTCACACTGAAAAGAATATAATAAAACAATGTGAGGAGAAAAGTTTGTAGTAATGTAAACACAGTTGAATGAAGGTTCTAGTCTGACAGAATCAACAGACCTGACTGTGTTTAACTCAGTGCATCATGATGTATCTGCAAGTAGTGAATCACTTCTATTTTCTTTTGTAGAACATCTTTAATATGACAATATTAACTGAAGATAAAGCAAAAGTTTTCATATTGTAAACAGACAGAGAGAAACATGGAAAACATGAACTTACTTTATAAGAATGAAGCCCTGTTTTATTTATTGTCTCAATCAGTTTCAGTTTACATACAATTTACTTAATTTTGATCAATTTGACTGAATAATTACATTTTATTTATTTAAATTTTATTGACATCTGTAGTAAAATCTCAGACGTGTATCACAAACAAAATAATAACTCCATATTTACATACAATGAAGGCAAATAAAAAAGAGCTGCACTTTAACTTCATCCCTTTTTTCATTTCTTTAAAGAGTAAATTGTATAACTGACACAACGTCCTCAGTGATTCATGTGTTTATCGTTTGTTACTTTATTCATTTATTCACTCTTTCATTCTGTAATGTATTATAGGATTTTCAAAAATATACTTTTATTCTGAAATGTTTTCTCATAAAAAGCTTTAAAGGGAGAATATAATCTCATTTATCATGTTTAATAGACGTGATGATCATATAAATGAAAAGAACTTCATGATTTTAATTGTTTTTTAATGAATATATAAAAGGCTGTGATTCCTACATGGTTTATCTACTGAATTAAAGCAGATATTCTGCACTTTAACTTCAACACTGCTGACCTGCTCAGCTTCAGTAAATCAATTGTTTATTTATTCATTTATCACTTTTCTCATGCAATGATTTACTGATAGATGGAATTTCAAATGAAAGAATACAAGTTTTTCCCCCAACATAAAAGTTTGATGAGGGAAAAATCAACTAAATTTCTAAGGTTTAACAGGTGTGATGATCAGTGGCGCTGAGTTTTTACCTCCTTCACTGAGGGAGGGACTGAATAATGGATAGAGTTCCTCAGTGAAAGACTGACCAGTGAAAGAGTAGATATGAGAATTGGCCTCAACATCATAGAAGGAGACCAGACCCTCCTCATAATCCACAAACACCCCCACCTTCTGCGGGGCCTGTTTCAGGGAAAGGCAGACAGGAGGAGATTCTCCTGCTTTATATTCAGTCTCATTTCTCAGAATCACAGTCCAGTATCCATCCTCAGGACTGGCTATAATCTCTCCCTTCCTGTTACTGGACTCTGTGGTCACTCCTAAATCCCACTCAGTCTTTCCTCGGACCTGAACCTCATAGTAAAACCTCCCTGAGGAGAACCCCTCCTTTCCCAGAACACAGGGACAACGATCAAACCTCTCTGGTTTGTCAGGGAGATTCTGTTGTTCGTCTCTGTGTCTCACTTGTTTTCCATCGTCAGACAGAATGAGTTCAGGATGAGCTGAATCAGGATCCAGAGTCACATCCACTGAGAGAAAAACACACAATTTAAACCAATTTAACAAAATACAACATAAAATAGATAAAATTCTTATCATTTTATTTAAACACATCATGTGATCAGTGAAAATTCACTCACCTGCAAACTGCTGAATTCTGTTCATTTCTGTTTGGAAAAGAAAAACATTTATTGTCATAAATTTGTCTTAATTAAGTGGCTGATTATTATGAACCACAAACCAGGATTTCAAAATGAACACCAAGTGAGACGTGTAGTGATTTAATGGAAAGGAGTTTTACTAGATTAAAAATAATAATTAAATATATACAGTCATGAGCAAAGGTTCTACTCAAATTCCATGTTTTGTTGAATTTTAAATAAGTTACACTTCCTCTACAGTGAACACAGTTCTGCACATTTTAATACACAATTACTGTTTATTTACTGAATTTAATGTTTTGGAGAAAAAGACATTTTACATTTTATGTTTAATTTTTTCATTCTGTTAAACTCAGGTTTAAGTGTGTCTCTGTAGAGGATGTGTTACTTATTTTCACTTAGAAAATCAACAACAACATGAAATTTGACTTATACATAGGACTATTTCTGGTATCTGTATCTTAAAGACTTCCTGAATTATTCTTCATACAAACTCACGTCTGCTGAACATCTAAATGTCTCTGACCAGTAAATACTTACTGATCTTATCAAGTCTTCTCCATCTCCTTACTGAGCTCTTCCTGAAGCTGAGACAGAGCTCTCCTCAGAGTCTCCACCCTCAGATGAGTGTTAATCCTGACCTCAGTCCAGTTCTTGGTGTGTGGAGGGCTGCAGAGGGACGGGTAAACCTACAGTCCAGCAGGAGAGAGGAGAAACCCCTCAGCATGGGGAGTGCTGTCCTGTGATGGACTGCATTACTATTGAGAAACAGAGGGACTCTGACCTGTAGGAGGTGGAGGTGGTCCTCAGTGTGGGAGAGCTGCTCCAGCTCAGTGTCTCTCCTCTTTAGCTCAGTGATTTCCTGCTCCAGCTCTTTAATGAACTCTTCAGCCTGCCTCTCTGCTGCTTTCTGCTTCTCCTCCATCACCTCAAGCAGCTCCGCCTGGCTTCTCTCAATGCAGCGCAGCAGAGCTCTGAAGACCTCCACACTGTCTGCTTTCTCCTTCTCTGTGCTTTTCTAACAATAATAATAATAATAAGAAGAAGAATAACAACATTTCGAATGTAGCAGCTTTTATATATCAAAAGCACACAAAGTGCTTCACTGAGAAAGGGCACATAAAGTTAGCCTAAAAGAGCAACAGAGAATAACACCTGTACAAGGAAGAAAAAATTTGAGTAAAAGAAGGAATTTTGATTCAGAAAAAAATTATTAGTTAAAACAAATCAATAAAAGAATAATAAAAATAATAATCAATAAAAGATTTTTTAAATACGAACTAAAGACAGTTAATGAATGTTTTCCCAGTTTAGAAGCATAGCGTTAAACATTTTTACATATTAAAAGGTTGTTCGTCCAACCTATAGTACTGGATAAGCAGTAACTAATAGAGCAACAGCACTCTTTTCAGCAGGTGCAACAGAAATGTAAAGTAGCGTATTGTCAGCATAGCTATGGAGTTGACTCCATTTTCACTAATGCTACAGTTGATAAACATGTATAACGAAAATAAATGTGACCCCAGAATAAACTCTTGAGGTCCACCAAGAGTAATAAAATGCTGTCTGTTAGGTAAATTGGTTTAAAAGCACTTCAGAATATTTCCAGACAGTTCACTTTAGTTTTGAACAGTATGATCTGTACTGATTTAGTGTCAAACACATAACATTCAAGAAGACAAGCACTGAGTTCTCATCACTGTTCTGTCTGAGATCACTGGCAAATTTTACCGAAGTATCTGTATTATGACTGGACATAAAATCTGATTGAGTTTTTTTCTAGAGAAAAACGCTGTTGAAATTCAATTGACACTCACTTTATTGAGCTCTACAGACTCTTTGATTTCCTCAATCTTCTTCAGTCGGTCCTGGATCATCTGCTGAACTTTTGTCTGTGTCTTTTCCAGCTGAGTCTATGATAAAAAGGAAAATCTTAACCCAACCACCCAATAACTGGAGCAAGTTTTCTCATGCAAAAAAAACAGACAAGAGTTAAAATTTCTGTAAGTGTCTCTCACCTTCCTCTCTCCACTCTCCTCCTCTATAGGAACAGTGCTGTGAGTCTTGTGGTCTGTCTCAGTGCAGAACCGACACACACTCGTCTGGTCGTCTCTACAGAACAGCTCCAGGGGTCTCTCATGTTTCTGGCAGATGTAGTCCTCCAGGTTCTCCACAGGGTCCATCAGTTTGTGCTTCTTGAATGAAGCGACTCTCTGATGAGGATTCAGGTGAGTCTTGCAGTAAGAGGCCATACAGATCAGGCAGGACTTCAGAGCTGCACAGTTGTTTTCACAGAAGTCACAGAGAACCTGAGATTTGTCAGGTTTCTCTGGAGCTCTGCTGGATTTGACCTGAACTGACTTCTTGAACTGAGCAGCCAGTCCAGAGATGAACGTGTTCACAGACAGTTCAGGTCTTGTAGGGAATTCTGTCTTACAAACTGGACACTGGCAGCGTGAACTGCTGTCCCAGCACTCTTTGAGACAGACCATGCAGAAGTTGTGTCCACATGGAGTAGAGACTGGATCAGTGAACACATCCAGACAGATAGAGCACTGGAGCTGATCTTCAGACAGGAGACTGCTGGAGGAAGACATGACTGACAGAGGAGACACAGAGACACCATGAGGGAGATTTGAGACCAAAGAAAACTTCCTACATTTTTCATAACAATTTTTAGTCAAAACAAGAAAGTGTGTCCCAATTTAGGGGCTGCATCCTGCGTAGTTGTGTCCTTCGAAGGCTGAACTGTAATGAGAGGGTCTGCCATAAGGCGGATTTCCTTACTGTTGCACCACGAAACGCCGCTCCTGTCAAGTTCTTATAAAATTCTTTAAAGATGGAGCCAGAAACTTTCATTTTAGTTTTTTTATTTTTTCATTTATTAGAGCTGGAGATGCTTCACAGCCAGCTACTGATGTACTGTTATAGCGTTAGCGATTCGACTCAGTTTAAACCCAATACTTATATTTAAAAGTGACTCTTCAGCCACCATTTACTTCTCTGTCGATGCCCCATTGTTCTTGAATCCTTGCCGGCACACAATGAACATCGGGATATGTTGGCTGGCGAAGGATGCACCCATAGATATACATACCTAGATGCTGTGTTGCCTGTTAGTCTCTATGTGAGGTGATACGTCTGCGCGTCAGTCATGTTGGTGCGATCAAGATCCGCTTGTGAACAAATTCACTTGTACTGAGAGACGAAGAGTCTCAGGATTAAATCAGCCACAACTTCCTTACTATTCAACCGATTTTCACCAGATTTGTTTTGTTATAATCCTCAGACACAGATTAATCTAGGCTGCACTGCTCTTGGTAGCTTTTATTACTTTAACAACTGATCCTCCCAATTAGCCGTCCAGACCAGCAGGAAAGTATTCAGTCTGCACCTGACATTAAAAACCGCGTTTAGCGCGAGCTCCGGTAGAAACATCAGCAAATCCATCAATGTGTGAATCACTTCTAATCTTCATACACACAAAAATAAAATAACCCCCCAAAACACAGTAAGAAGGACGAAGCTGAATGGCTTCCTATTCACAAGCTTTCTTCTTTTATCGTTTCACCTTAACTTTCTGGTGCCTGAAGCTGCACCATTTAAGGTGGAACGGGAAAATTCGAACAAGAAGCTAGCTAATTCACCATTTAAGGTGGAACAGGAAAATTCGAACAAGAAGCTGGCTAATTCACCATTTAAGGTGGAACGGGAAAATTCGAACAAGAAGCTGGCTAATTCACCATTTAAGGTGGAACGGGAAAATTTGAACAAGAAGCTGGCAAATAAGAAACTGACTTCAGGTTCGTGTAAGAAGGTGCGAACGTTAATCTATTATGAATATCTACAAGGGTTAATAAATGCTATAATTTACCTACAAAGCAATAACCATGATAGTAAATAAATAACTACTACATCAAGTTAAGATCCCCTGAATAGACTATTCAATGAAATAAACTAAACCAGAGGAGAAACAATCACATCAACAGGTTCTCTGTGCTTCACCAACCACACAACCATATCTACACATAAACATTACACAGACAATACGCATCACACAGACATGAGCGTGGATCACTGCGTTCCCTCCGTTATATAATCCTATCCCACTTTCTGAGTGAAATATTCTTGAAATAGTGTAATTTTGCACAGTATCTTGCCTAAACTTCCGCTCTGTAATGGTACTGAATGCAGCCCAGCAGCGATGTTGACCGCCCTAAAATGGCGGCGCAGTTGACGTGCCTAACTGGACCCATCTAGGTATGTATATCTATGGATGCACTTGTTGGATCCTTCGTTGCCATGGAAAAAAGGACACATTTCTCGGCCGCATTTGAAGGAGCTTCGAAATGAGACAGTCTAGTTGCGCCGCTATGACGCAATCGGCCTTCAAAAGCAGCCTCTGAAGGATGCAGCCCCTGAATTGGGACACACTGGAAGAATATTAAACTCCTTTATTTCCTGTTTGGTTTCAGCGCCACTCCAAAAGCGTTTTGCTGCCATCTCGCGACTGTTCTCACACATGCGCAGACTGAGAAATCCGATAGCAATCGGAGTAAGAGTTCACTGAGAAATCTGATTACTGAGCTAAAATCCAGCCTCTTTATCTGATTTCTTAATCGGATTTCTAGATCGGAGTATGGTGTTTACACGACCATTTGAATAATTGGATAACTGCAGAAATCCGTTTATGTTCTCATGAAGTATGTACTCATCTTAAATCAGTCACATTAGTCTGACTGATCAGATTCACATTCTACCTGTTAATCATGAATCTGTAGCTGAACAAATGATCACAGCTTCAAATGTTAAATACAATTAACAGATTTAGACAAAACACGAACAGCAGTGATGGTAGAAATGATCTGAACACCTGGATGTATTTTCAGTAACAGACAGTAAGAAACTTAGACTCATTACCACTTTCACTTTCTCTCCTTTGGTCTGCTTTTCTGCTTCTTCAGAGTTGATCTGTAGAGTTTAACTGAGTTTCCTGACTGGAGAACCTTCAAACTGGAAACTGTGTCCTGCTGGAAGAACTGAATTCGGTTTTTGAAGCAGCTCTGCATTAGTTTCGTTTCTCCTGAGTGACGTCATGAGGTCACTGCATGGTGATAGTTTGTTGTACTTGCAGGTTTTGGCCAGCAAGATATTCACTAACTGAATTACAGCATCTCAATAAGCAGCTTTTGCTCAAAAAGGCACGAAGCTCTGTACAAACACTGTGAGCTTTTCTTTTAGCTCCCATTTAGAGAAAAACAACATTAAACTAAATCTATTAAAATATTACTGAGCTAAAAGCAGCAGCTCCTCTATTCAGCTGTTCCACTACTGACATTTCTAGCTTACAGCTCCACCGAACTCAGAGTTATTACAGCCTTCCACCAGCAGATGGCGCCATACAATAACATCTACTGATTCTTATATATGCCCTGCGATGGACTGGCGACCTGTCCAGGGTGTATCCTGCCTTCCGCCCAGTGACAGCTGGGATAGGCTCCAGCACCCCACCGCGACCCAGAAGGATAAGCGGTTTAGATGATGGATGGATGGATGGATGATTCTTATATACAGTGTTCCAGTTATATTGAAGAGTCCACACAGTACAAACTGAGCATGTAAAGACTCAGAGATGAGAAACACTGAACTTGTCTAGCTGCTGCTGGACGATGAGTGAGGTGGGTGTGTTTTACAGTGATGGTAGAGAGACCCCCTGCTGTCATTTACACTCAGTGAGAACAGTCAGAGTCTTAAATCTCAGCTGCACATTCAGTCCTGAGTGAGTTCTCCACTGAGAGACACAGTTACTCAGGATGAAGGGATTCATTTCATTGTTCTCTTTACTAATTGAGCCTCCCTGTAACTACACACCGATTTACTAATGATCTCCTGTGTATAACACTTTCATATTACAGACACATTTATAATAATTTAACCTAAACTTCAAGCTTTCATGCTCTAAAGAAATACAAAAACATAAACAAAACGAACATACCTTTTTTCCAATTGAATTATTTGCTTGTTTTGTTTATTGTACCCCTGTAAAAGCAGGGAATGAAGCCCACCCTTAACGAGTGTCCATTTACTGAAAATCAAATAAACTGGAACAGCAGACTGTTCTGTTCATATAACACAAAAAAGAAAATCTTTAAAAGGGGAATGCTGCCCAACCATCACGACACGATGCCCCCTAATCTGGGTCGTTTTTGTCATTTGTCATCTAGATTTTACAGAATGTATAAATTTTCATGTCAAATTATTTGTAGTTATTAATTTGCGGTACAACAGGCCGCTATCAATTTGTCTTAATGGTTCCACTTCATTTTAATAATCATAGTAAAATACAAAACATTTGAAATGTTGACTTTGTCTATTACTTGAATGGGTATTGTGGTTGTATGAGTTATACAATCATATTCAGGAAATTAATTGAATGGTCTTATTATTAAATGTTGTCTAGTTCTAGTTAATAATTACCAGCATGTAACTGAAGAACTTTGTATCACTGATGAAAACGTAACCAAATATACATTTTTGTACCATGCTAAAGGAGACCATTACCCTGGGTAACGTTTGGAAGGGTTTCTTACCTCAAAGGTCTAAATTTATATTTTCACTTCAAAGGGAAAGAAAATGTCCTCTCAAAACCAAATGCACTGATCTGCAACACTTCCATAGTCACAGCATTAAAACAATGTACCATTCAATTTCATTCAAATAGCGTGTTTCAAAACCAGGACAGTCACAAAGCAGCTTTACAGGGAGAGTTTTGGAGCACAGATTTATGAACTGAGGGGTAGAAATATAGGGAGAGTGTGGAGAGATTAGAATTGGACTTTTAAGAGAAGAGTTGGGAAGGTACGTTAATGCTACAGGATCATGGATACTGGAGTAACATCTGTCAGGAGGTGGAACAGCTCAGAGATGAATGAAAAGAAAATGAAAATGAAAAGGTAAACATAAAAGAACAGTTTTATTATTTTATGAACTAAAAACTAATGTAAATAAGTGATATGAGCTATATATATATATATACACACACATCAGATGTTATCAGTGGTAGAGGCCTCTTATCAGTGTACAGAGGCTTGTTATCAGTGCTCAGTTCAAAGGCCAGCATCTCTGATGGTCTGGAGTTGCATTAGTGCTCATCTGTGAAGGCACCATTAATGCTGAATGATGTATACAGGTTTTAGCAACACATCGCTGCAGCTGTAACAAAACCTTGTATCTCAATTTTGGTCATTTTACACTTTTTTTAGAAAATTTTAAAATGCAAATGTCTCTTTACAATGTGCCCACATTTTGTGATGATTGGACCAATAGAAAGGCTCCGAAATTACTTAAAAGAAAATCTTTCTCCATTAACCTCCATTCAAAGCTAAGAATGCTTTTTCCTTCTCCTGTGAAATTATTATTTTGGAGATGAAAGGTTTTGTTCGGACTACAGCGACATGCTGCCATTCAGATAAAGACTTTTTCAAGCGCTTATTACAACAGCATGGTTCAGTAGCAAAAGAGTCCGGGTGCTAAACTGACCTGCAGTCTGCCTGCAGTCCAGACCTATTAGTCATTAAAAAAAAACTTCTGGCGCATTATGAGACAAAAAAACAACAAATGAGCCCCCCGAACTGCTGAGCAGCTGAAATCCTGTATCAAGCAAGAACAGGAAAACATTTCACTTTCAAAACTACAGCAGTGTCTCCTCAGTTCCCAAACCCTTACAGAGTGTTGTTAAAAGAAGAGGTGATGAAACACAGTGGTAAACAGGCCCCCGTCCCAACTTTTTGGAACGTGTTGCTGCCATCAAATTCAAAATCTTGTACTCTCACCTGGACACATCAGGCAGCACTGTGAGGATCATGTTCTTCAAATTCTCCAGTGCATTCAACACCATACCGCTTGAAGCTACAGCTGATGCAGGTGGATGAATCCATCATTGCATGGATAATGGACTATCTGACTGGACGACCCCAGTATGTGCGACTGCAGGGCTGTGTCTCAGACAAGGCTGTGTGCTGTGTCGGGGCACCCCAGGGGACGGTGTTAGCTCCATTCCTGTTCAACCTGTACACCTCTGACTTCAGGTACAACACAGAGTCGTGTCATCTGCAGAATTTCTCAGATGACACGGCCATTTGGGGTGCATGAGGAATGGACAGGAGGAGGAATGCAGGAAGCTGGTGAAGAACTTTGTCGACTGGTGTAAGCTGAACCAGCTGCAGCTAAACATCAGTAAGACTAAGGAGATGGTGCTGGACTTTAGGAAGTCCAAACCTGCCTTGTCACCAGTCACCATTGATGTGGAAGTGGTTGGGACTTGGACTGGGTGTGCACTTGGACAACAAGCTGGACTGGAGCTGTAACACTCGCAGTGTACAAGAGAGGCCAAAGCCACCTCTACTTCCTGAGGAGGCTGAGGTCTTTTGGTGTGTGCACTAAGCTCCTATGGTCATTCTACCAGGTCTGCTGTAGCGAGTGCTTTATTCTATGCTGTTGTGTTCTGGAGCAGCAGCATTAAATAAAGTGCTCTGAACAAAATTAACAAACTTATTAGGAAGGCTGGCTCTGTTGTAGGAGTCAAGCTGGACTCTCTGGAGGTTGTGGCAGAACAAAGGACGCTCAACAAGCTGTTAGCCATCTTGGACAACACCTCACACCCCCTGCATGCTGCACTGGATAAACAGAGAAGCACATTCAGTGTCAGACTGTTACAGCTGTGCTGTGTTAAAGAGCCGTGTGAGATCTTTCTTACCCACAGATATAAGGCTCTACAACGAGTCTCCTTACTGCAGAGACGGTGCTGATCTCCTGCTGTCTGAACTGAGCTAAACCACATCACTATATCACCTCTCCTGTTAATACGCACTGTGCAATATATCATGCTACTGTAATGACTCTCTCACTGTGCACTTTACACTGTAATATTTCTGCTACTCCTAGTTATGCTTATACTCATTGTGCTTTTAGTTTACCTCATACCACTCAGTGCCTCATGTAAATACAACAAATCTGTCTTATATGCCATGTAAATATGCAAATAGATATACTTTTATTTCTACTCTCTTATAAGTAAAATTATGTCTATTTTTATTTCTATTTTTTATTTGCTGCATAGTTTATGTAAGTTATGTGCAATTATATGTCTTTCTACTGAAACACTGCAATTTCCCTTCAATAAATTCTATCTATCAATAAAGTTCTATCTATCTATCTATCTATCTATCTATCTATCTATCTATAATGGGCATATATTTTTCAGAAAACAAAGAGAGAGAGAGAGAGAGAGACATAAGAATTTTATTTAACTCGTTTTTAATGGGTTTTAACAGGTTTGATGATCAGTGGTGCTGAGTTTTTACCTCCCTCATTGAGACTGGGGCACATGTATGGATAGAGTTTCTCAGTGAAAGACTGACCAGTGAAAGAGTAGATATGAGAACTGACCTCAACATCATAGAAGGAGACCAGACCCTCCTCATAATCCACAAACACCCCCACCTTCTGGGGAGCCTGTTTCAAGGAGAGGGGGACAGAGGTAACGTCTGCAGCCTGATTAACAGTCTCATTTTTCACTAACACACTCCAGATGTCATTTTTAGGGTTGACTGTAATCTGTCCCTTCCTGTTAATGGACTCTGTGGTCACTCCTAAATCTCACTCAGTCTTCTCACTGACCTGAACCTCATAGTAAAATCTCCCTGAGGAGAACCCCTCCTTTCCCAGAACACAGACACAATAATCAAACCTCTCTGGGTTTTCAGGGAGATTCTGTAGTTCGTCTCCGTGTCTCACTTGTTTTCCATCATCAGACAGAACGAGTTTAGGATGAGCTGAATCAGAATCCAGAGTCAAATCCACTGAGAGAGAAACACACAGTTTAAAACCATTTTAACATTTTACAACATACAATCCAGCAGACTCATATATTTTTACTCAATAATATTATGTAATCAGTGAGAATTCACACACCTGCATATTGTTGAATTCTCTTCATTTCTGTGTTAGAAAAATAAAGGACGATCTACAAAAAATCTGTAATAAAAAAAAATCTATCTACTTTTATTTTGAGTATCAGGATCTTAATGACGTTTTGAATTATTCCACCTACAAATTCATTTCTGCTGAACATTACTGTCATTTCTAGCTGCTGTTCTGCAGCAGTGAAATACATAACGATAAAGTGTCGGCCCCATTATTTACAGAGAGAGCTCTCTACTGTCTTTATCCTCAGAGTTTACATCTATGATACAGTCAGCACAGCTCAAAACCAACACCCTGAGAGTTTCAACACTGTCACTTCAACCACGTAAACTTGAGGAACATTCTCCCCAAATTTTCCCAACATATTTCCATCCCAACTACGTGAGAGAATACAGTGGACCCTGTTTACACCAAAACAAAGGGAGCATAAACCTCCACCTCAGACTCTCAGATCACAACAGTGTGACGTTCCCTGCTTACCAACAAAGAGAAACCAGTCAAAACCATCAAAGTGTGGACAGAGCAGTTTCAGTGCTACAGGACTGTTTCAGCTACACTGACTGGAGCATGTTCAAGGATGCTGCTACATGGAGGGATCACACAGACTTCGATGAATAAGCATCGTCTGTCTCTGGCTATTTAAGTAAGTGTGTGGACGATGTAGTGATCACAAGAACTGTCAGCAAACAACCAAAACAGAAGCCCTGGCTGAACGCTGAGGTCCACCAGCTGTCATTATCTCCCAGGAGGGCTGCTGTCCCAATATTTTTCAAATCAGCCACCATCATCCCAGTGCCACAGTCCTCAGTCACCAGCCTTAATGATTACCGCCCGGTTACACTAACCCCAACTGTCATGAAGTGCTTTGAGCAGCTGGTTAAGGCACACACTAAGCAATCCACTGCATCAACACTGGACCCATACCAATATTACTACAGGCAATACTGCTCCACTGAGGACACCATATCCACCACCATCCACCTGGCCTCATCACACCTGGACAACAAGGAAACTCAAGCTAGATTGTTGTTTATCTACAGCTCATCTTTCAACACCACCATACCCAAGAAGCTAATCAGCAAACTCCACTCACTTGGACTAAGCTAATCTCTCTGTGACTGGATTCTTGACGTTTTGAGTAACAGACCTCAGACGGTCAGGATCCAGAACAGATTATCCCACTCCATCACTCTGAACACCGGAGCCCCCCAGGGCTGTGTAATGAGTCCTCTGCTGTACACTCTGCTCACTCATGACTGCATTACCAAACACATTGTTTCTGCTGTATGTATTTTGCCACCACTGCTTTACAATTTTACAGTGTCCTTAAGTCGCAATTACAAAACTTCGGTCTGGCCGGCCACCACAGCTGATAGTACTACAATTGTGGGGCTTATCTCCAACAATGGTGAGACAGCCTACAGAGAGGAAGTGAGGCGGCTGGAGCGCTGATGCAATGACAACAGTCTCTGTCTGAATTTGACCAAGCCAAAAAAGATGATTGTAGACGTCAGAAGGACAGAGACGCCTCAGACGCCCTCTGTATATCAACGGTACGGTGGTGGAGACCATGCACAGCTTCAAGTTCCTGGTAGTGCACATCACTGACCATCTCTCCTGGTCCCTGACCTCTTCCTTCTTAGTGAAGAAGGTACAACAGCGCCTCTACTTCCTAAGGAGACTAAAGAGGGCCAGCCTGCCAACATCCATCCTCAACTGCTGCTACAAAAGCATCATAGAGAGCATCATGACCTGCAGCGACACTGTCTGGTATGGAAACGGCACCATCTCAGACTGGAAAGCACTGCAGTGGGTAGTGAAGACTGCCCAGTCCATCACTGGGTCAAGCTTCCCTGCCATTAAGGACATCTACAATAAATGGTGTAAAAGGAAAGCATGCAGCATCAAGGAGGATCCCTCTCATCCACCCCACGGCCTGGTTACACCACTCCCATCTGGAAGAAGACTACAGAGCATCAGGGTCAAGTCCAACAGACTCATGAACAGATTCTTCCTGCAGGCAGTCAGACTGCTGAACGGATCTACCTGATGGACCTTTAAACATTCTCACTTAAATACCTCCTCAGTCATTCTACTCACTTTATCTGCTGCACTTTAACTTCCGCACTCAGCCACTTTACTGTAAACCTTTAACCTCACTCACTTTATATGCATAGTCACTTTATCTGTACACTGCCTGCAGTTTGAATAATTTTATGACTGCATTACAAAACTGTTGTTAATTATCAATAAACAATACACACAGCTCTATCATTGCTGCTGTGGACCAACAGATGGTCTGTTTCCTCTCTTTTGTCCTGAGCTCAATGGTTGTATAGTTGCAGTTATTGTAAATTTAGGGAAAGTTCATTGTACAGTGCTTGTATAGTTTGTGTTGATTGTCTGTCTGCACTGTTTTCTGCTGCTGTTCTGTGTTAAATGCAGCACCGTGTCCTGGAGAAACTACATTTTGTTCCTCTCTCAACACATCTGTGATGAGAAGATATGACAATAAAGCTCACCTTGACTTTGACTTGAACATCAAAATGTCTCACTGATCAGTAAATACTTACTGATCTCAGGAATCTTCTCCATCTCCTTACTGAGCTCTTCCTGAAGCTGAGACAGAGCTCTCCTCAGAGTCTCCACCCTCAGATGAGTGTTAATCCTGACCTCAGTCCAGTTCTTGGTGAGCGGAGGGCTGCAGAGGGACAGGTAAACCTACAGTCCAGCAGGAGAGAGGAGAAACCCCTCAGCATGGGGAGTGCTGTCCTGTGATGGACTGCATTACTATTGAGAAACAGAGGGACTCTGACCTGTAGGAGGTGGAGGTGGTCCTCAGTGTGGGAGAGCTGCTCCAGCTCAGTGTCTCTCCTCTTTAGCTCAGTGATTTCCTGCTCCAGCTCTTTAATGAACTCTTCAGCCTGCCTCTCTGCTGCTTTCTGCTTCTCCTCCATCACCTCAAGCAGCTCCGCCTGGCTTCTCTCAGTGCAGCGCACCAGAGATCTGAAGACCTCCACACTGTCTGCTTTCTCCTTCTGTGAGCTTTTCTAACAGGGGTCAATAAGAGTAATATAAAACATTATGATTATAACTGCATTAATATATTAAAAGTACCCAAAGTACTCAATCCTGTATCAGTTGTAATTTGTCTGTGCTTTTTTGGCTAAACCAGTGGAAGCTCACTGGAAATGTTTCCAAAGTTTTACTAAGGCTGTCAATATAGGATCTACAATAGAGTAAAATTTGCTGCCTGTGTGAAATGTTTCTAAAATGTTACCAATGCTGTCAATACACAATCTACAATTGAGGTAGTGTGAAGAACAGAATCAATGACTTGTAAAGGAAACTATAAATTGCCAGATATCATTAGCTCATTAGTTTGCTGTGGAATTTAACACCCTGGATTTTTTGTAAACTGTCCTATTGGGTGTCCTATGTTCACTCAAAATCCTGAAGAGTAGCAGTGTTACGAGGCAGAATAACTCAGACGCTCGCAGTTAAAAAAAGAGAGAGTGAGGCTTTAATGTTTGAGTTGTAATCCACAAACATGGTCAAAGAACAGGCAAAGGTCGAATCCAGCAAAGAGACACAAAAAGACAAAGACAAAGATAACAAGGCAAACAAAGATAACAAGGCAAACAAAGTCCAAAGGGCAAAAGTCAAAACAGCAAACAGAGTCAAAAACCAGAAGAATCACAAGAGACAGAAGAAAACCGCTCACTAGCTCTTGTAACAAGTAGCATGACCTCACCCTGATCTAGGCTAAAAGCCCAGGCTTTATACTAACCTAATTATACCAGAACAGGTGTAACCAGTTAGTACTCAGGCGACAGAGAGCGGTGATTGGAGCAAGATGGAGGGCTGAGAATCATGTGAGCCCCCTGGGGTTTCTGGGAAATTCTGGGAGATTTGAGACCAAAGAAAACTTCCCTAGAGACCTTTGAGCCTGAGGGATGCGTGACAAGCAGCATGGATAAAGAAAATAAAAGTGGCCCCAGTATAGACACTTGAGGTACTCCATAGAAAAGTCACACTTACCAGATACATATTAAGCAAGAGTAACAAGATACTGTTTCGTATTGTAAAACCACTTCAGAACATTTGCAGACAGTGCAGTCTAGTTTTCAAGTGTCCAACAGAATGATCTTCAGTTTTCTATATTGTCCAACACGTTTAATGCACACTAATGTCCAAGTGGAGAAGAAATGATATTTTGTTCTCATTAATATTCTGGAATTTTTCATAGATTTCACAGTTCAAATTGATAATAAAGATTGTGCAGTTTGATGAATTGTGCAGATGAATTGGTTTTTATTGTGTTTATTATGAGCATTCAGTAATGCCTGCAGAGTAAATGAGCTTTAATTTTAAGTTAAGACTCACTTTATTGAGCCCAACAGAGTGTTTGATTTCCTCAATCTTCTTCAGTCGGTCCTGGATCATCTGTTGAACTTCTGCCTGTCTTTCCCATTTGAATCTATGATAAACAAACAAATTAGAACAATATCATTTGAGGATTTCTTTTAACAGCAGACGTCGCAGAGAACCTGAGATTTGGCAGGTTTCTCTGGAGCTCTGCTGGATTTGACCTGAACTGACTTCTTGAACTGAGCAGCCAGTCCAGAGATGAACGTGTTCACAGACAGTTCAGGCCTTTTGGATAATTCCTCTTTATAAACTGGACACTGGCAGCGTGAACTGCTGTCCCAGCACTCTTTGAGACAGACCATGCAGAAGTTGTGTCCACATGGAGTAGAGACTGGATCAGTGAACACATCCAGACAGACAGAGCACTGGAGCTGATCTTCAGACAGGAGACTGCTGGAGGAAGACATGACTGACAGAGGAGACACAGAGACACCATGAGGGAGATTTGAGATTTTTCATGACAATTCTTAGTCAAAAAAATAATTACATGAATTAAGAAGAGATGGAGTACTCATCTTAATCATATTAGTCTGACTGATCAGATTCACATTCTACCTGTTAATCATGAATCTGTAGCTGAACAAATGATCACAGCTTCAACTGTTAAATAAAAGTGACAAAGCATTAAAAAATGTAAGAAAAGTAACAGACAAAACACGAACAACAGTGATGGTAGAAATGATCTGAACATCTGGATGTATTTTCAGTAACAGACAGTAAGAAACTTAGACACATTACCACTTTCACTTTCTCTCCTTTGGTCTGCTTTTCTGCTTCTTCAGAGTTGATCTGTAGAGTTTAACTGAGTTTATCTGACTGGAGAACCTTCAAACTGGAAACTGTGTCCTGCTGGAAGAACTGAATTCTGTTTATGAATCAGCCCTCATGAGTTTCGTTTCTCCTGAGGGACGTCATGAGGCCACTCCCATGTACGTATGGTGATAGTTTGTTGTACTTCATGTGGAAACGAGCAGTTTAACTGTTTTCACTGAAATCAACACTTTGAAGAAGATGCTGCAGTTTTGAAGCTGCATGTTCAGTTTATCTTCATCTTTTCATCAGTGTTTTTTGAGAAAAAGAAAATTCCGAATACAGGTTCTGTTCTGAGTGAAGCTAAATATATAAAAAAAATTGCACATTTCCTTTCACAGCCGAAATCACAGAGCACTGAGATCTGGCAGGTTTCAAATCTCCTTCCTCCAATGACGATTCTTAATCCATTAACAAAAAGCTATTGTACATTTTTTTGTGTTTTTATATCTAAATGTCAAGAAAAAAGACATTTGTGGAAGTTTAAGAAAAATAATGGCTAAAATTCACAACAGTGAAGGCAGAAATGTTCTGAACTTTTATCTACCACTTTCACTTTTTCTCCTTTGGTCTGGTTTTTTCTTCTATAGAATTCATCTGTAGAGTTTAACTGAGTTTCCCCGACTGTAAGAACTTCAGTTTGGAAACTGTCCTGCTGTGAGGAACTGAATTATCTTTGTGAAACAGCTTTGCTTTACTTGTTTCTCTGGAGTGACATCATGAGGCCACGCCCATCTATTTGTTGTACTTGCGTATTTTGGCCAGCAGGTCGTAGATATTTACCAACTGACCTTCATTATACCAATATACCAATATATCGAAGAAACACATTAAAAATTCATTCATCTCTGTGAAAATACAGGTAAGTTACTTGTTACTAATATTTACAGGTGCTTAGGTCAGGAGTTTGGCCAGTCTTATAAGTAAGGAGTCATTGTTTGGTCAGGGCTGAATGCAGCCCAGGTTACATATGTACAGATTGCATTGCAGTGCCTACAGTTTGAAAAAACTGCCTCATATGAGAGTCTATCAGAGGAATCTGGGCCATTTTCAACCAGACTGAAATCGCCTGAAAGGGGTGGGACTGCATGGAACACAGCTTGACGCTGATTGGACTGTGATATTCAGAGGCAGGATAAACTGTCTAGAACAGTCACAGATAGTGTAACACTGTGGTAGAACGTGATAGAACAATTTCCTCCCTCCCTCCTTTGGTGGCGTGTTGTTCGATCACCCTGAGGAACAAGCTGCCCCGGCTCTCAGAGGCTGTGTCCAAACTGTTAAATGAAACTTCTTTTTCTACTTGCTGCCCTTCGTTGTGCCTGATCTGTAGCTCATGGCCTCACTAAACATATTAGCAGAGCTGACCTACGTGTGGGTCCACATGGCTACAAGATCAGGCAAAATAAAAGAAAGCTGATTAGAAAAGAAGGTTTATTCAACTGTTCATACACAGTCAGACTCTGTCAGAAGAAGGAAGCCTGTGATCGGCTGAGCTGGACAGTCTATCACACACTAGAGGGTCCGCACTGGGGTCCAGTGGTCTGGAACTACACACTCTGACTTACTATTGATTTGCTGCTCAGAATAATAATAATAAACACACGTTTTTCAGGTTACAATCATTTACTTTTTACATAAAGAATCGAGACACGTTTCCCAGGTAATACAGATTCTTAACACACTGTAGTGAAGAACTGCACTGAATAGAAAACCTATATAATATAACAGAACATGATGATACAATTTGATAGAAACAAGAATTGTTGTACATTAAGATCTGCTGAATGAATGTGAATTAGAGCAGCTGTGGTACAGAGTGAGGTAGTGATGTCATGGGTTTTAGCTCTGAGCTGAGGAGTCAGAGAAGTCAAAGCACAAACCACATCTGAACACCTGTTACTTCACACAAACATGATTAAAGCTGCAGAACTGAGTGAAACACACTTTTCTAAACACTGTAAACTTCCTCATATTTATCTGTCTGACTCTCAGGAGCTTCACTGCACTGATAAGAAGTGTTACTGTGCATTAGTGTCTTTGATTTCCTGTTCCAAACCACAGAACTACTAAAGGAACCACAGAACCGATAAAAGAACCTCAGAACCAATAAAAGAACCTCAGAACCAGGCTGAAACTCAGCGTTGAAGATCTTATTTGGGTTTTAACATTCAGAATAACTTCTGTGTGTTTTTTTTTATCTACAGCCCAGAAGACTCTCAAAACTAGACACTGTGTTCAACAGCTGGATGAAACACAGCTGGAAAACTGAAAATATGTAGACTCCAGAGAAAGTTCTAGTCTGACAGAATCAGCAGAACTTCTCAGGATGACTGTGTTTAACTCAGAGCCTCAGGATGTAACTGTGAGCAGTAAATAATTCAACATTTTTAAACTTCTTAAGTAATTTCTGATAATTTAATGGAAACTTGATGCATTGACTTGGTTCATTGGTTGATGACTTGGTTCATTTTTAAAACGTTATTCTTAGTTTATTATTTATTTATTTTTTGAAATATGCCACCTCAAATGTCAGAGTGCAAGATTTTCTAACTTAAAAAGGTTTTACTGCAGAAAAATGAACTTCATGTATTATGTTTAACAGGTGTGATGATCAGTGGTGCTGAGTTGTTGCCTCTATTATAGAGGCTGGGACAGAAGTACGGATAGAGTTTCTCAGCAAAAGACTGACCAGTGAAAGAGTAGATATGAGAATTGGCCTCAACATCATAGAAGGAGACCAGACCCTCCTCATAATCCACAAACACCCCCACCTTCTGGGGAGCCTGTTTCAGGGACAGAGGGACACAAGGAGATTCTGCAGCTGTATATTCAGTCTCATTTCTCAGAACCACAATCCAGTATCCATCCTCAGGACTCAGTGTAATCTGTCCCTTCCTGTTACTGGACTCTGTGGTCACTCCTAAATCCCACTCAGTCTTCCCTCTGACCTGAACCTCATAGTAAAATCTCCCTGAGGAGAACCCCTCCTTTCCCAGCACAGTGGGACAATAATCAAACCTCTCTGGTTTGTCAGGGAGATTCTGTAGTTCGTCTCCAAGTCTCACTTGTTTTCCATCATCAGACAGAATGAGTTCAGGATGAGCTGAATCAGGATCCAGAGTCACATCCACTGAGAGAAAAACACAAGTTAAACACATTTAACACTAAACATCATATAATCGAGCAGACTCATATATTTTTACTTAAATATAATAATCACTGAGAATTCACACACCTGCATATTGTTGAACTCTCTTCATTTCTGTTTTAGAAAAATAAAGGATGGTATAAATTGTTATTCGAATCTATAAAAAAATCTATAATTAAAAAAAAGAATAATTAAACATGCAAATGCTCCACGTCCCAAACTTTCATTTTGAGTATCAGAATCTAAATGACGTTTTGAATTATTCCACCTAAAAACTCATTTCTGCTGAACATTTCTGTAATTTCTAGCTGCTGTTCTGCAGCAGTGAAATACGTAACGATAAAGTGTCGGCCCCATTATTTACAGAGAGAGCTCTCTACTGTCTTCATCCTCAGAGTTTACATCTATGATGCAGTCAGCACAGCTCAAAACCAACACCCTGAGAGTTTCAACACTGTCACTTCAACCACGTAAACTTGAGGAACATTCTCCCCAAATTTTCCCAACATATTTCCATCCCAACTACGCGAGAGAATACAGTGGACCCTGTTTACACCAAAACAAAGGGAGCATAAACCTCCACCTCAGACTCTCAGATCACAACAGTGTGACGTTCCCTGCTTACCAACAAAGAGAAACCAGTCAAAACCATCAAAGTGTGGACAGAGCAGTTTCAGCGCTACAGGACTGTTTCAGCTGCACTGACTGGAGTATGATCAAGGATGCTGCTACATGGAGGGATCACACAGACTTCGATGAATAAGCATCGTCTGTCTCTGGCTATTTAAACAAGTGTAATGATGTAGTGATCACAAGAACTGTCACCAAACTACCAAAACAGAAGCCCTGGCTGAACGCTGAGGTCTATTTCCTGCTAAAGGCCTACAATGTTGCATTCAGATCAGGTGACAGAGCAACACTCAGGGCCTCATTGTTGGCATCAAGAGAGCCAAGACTTCATGTGCTCTAAAAAATACAGGAACACTTCACAACAACTGACCCACGACCTACGTGGCGGGGCTTTCAAATTACCACTGACTATTGAAGTATATTTAAAAGGAACATTTTTATAGAAGAAGGTAAAAACACTCTTTCAGCATAAGTTGGGGCCTGGAGTTCTCTGTGTGCTCTGTTTTTGCAGGGGTTAGGAATGTTTAAATTAAGGGGCCCCCTGGTCCAAAGCCCCATAGGAAGTAGGCCTCTCACTTTCTCCCTTCTTCAACAACAGGTCCAATATATAAGCAGCTGGAATATTCTGTACGAGAGGGGACATTTAGAATTGGCACGGATCCTCTCTCAGGTACTTTATAGTGCTTGATATGATACTGTTTTACTTTGTAATAAACATCTTACTGGCAACACAGTGTCAGCGGAGTTCTCCTTCACCTCATCTTCACATCATCGCTACTTAGTAAACAACACTATAAAGGGAAGAATCAACTCGCCTGCACTAATGACTCTGCTCTCCCAGGTGCTTTAAACAGCTTCTATGACCATTTAGTAGTGTCCCCCAAGTGACCAGGTGCTGTTTGTGAATGCAGCTGATGTGAGGAGATCCCTGCTGAGGGTGCACCCACATAAAGCTGCAGGCCCTGACAACATTCCTGGCTGTGTGCTTAAGCAATGCATCCACCAGCTGGCTGCTGTCTTCACACACATCTTCAGTATCTCCCTGGTGGGCTGCTGTCCCAACATGCTTCAAATCAGCCACCATCATCCCAGTGCCAGAGTCCTCAGTCACCAGCCTTAATGATTACCACCCGGTTACACTAACCCCAACTGTCATGAGGGCTTTGAGCAGCTGGTTAAGGCACACACTAAGCAATCCATTCCATCAACACTGGACCCCCACTAAATTGGACAACAAGGAAATTCATGCTAAAATGCTGCTTATTGACTTCAGCTCAGCATTCAACACCATCTTACCCAAGAAGCTAATCAGCAAACTCCACTCACTTGGACTAAGCTAATCTCTCTGTGACTGGATTCTAGACGTTTTGAGTAACAGACCTCAGACGGTCAGGATCCAGAACAGATTATCCCACTCCATCACTCTGAACACCGGAGCCCCCCAGGGCTGTGTAATGAGTCCTCTGCTGTTCACTCTGCTCACTCATGACTACATTACCAAACACATTGTTTGTTATATATATTTTGCCGCTGCTGCTTCAGAATATTACAAAGTGTCCTTAAGTCCCAATTACAAAACTTTGCAAAGGGCTTTTAATTTGAAATGACAGTTACAGGAAGTGGATGAACATTGTGTGAACAGGCAGAGCCAAGTTGAGCCAAAGTGCCGAAAGAAACAGTTGTCGGTGGAGCAGACTATTCAGGCTAACTTAGCACGCCGTGAGGAGGCTGGGTTGACCTCATTTTACAATGTTATAATGTTCAGTTTTACATTTTGTGGACTTTTGTGGACAGTGGTGGTCTGAAATATGAATAAAGTGGGTCAAAAGGAACTGTTTGTCTGTTTTATTCTGGCCACCTGTTCATTGTAATGTGTTAATACTAGCCAATGAGGGTGAGCTACTGTTAGGACGGTGTGTCTTGTTTGTTTAGAACTTTACAGTAAGAAAATGTATTGAAAGAAACAGGTCAAACAGACGGCCTGAGGCTGTACAGTAAACAAAAGGAATGAAGCTGAAGGGGGGGGTCTTGGAGGGGGTTTGGTCTTGACCCAGATGGGGGGGTCTGGCCAGCCACCACAGCTGGTGGCACTACAGTTGCTTCAAGTTCAGCTTGAAGTTCATGGGAGTGCACATCACTGACCATCTCTCCTGGTCCCTGACCTCTTCCTTCTTAGTGAAGAAGGCACAACAGCGCCTCTACTTCCTAAAGAGACTGAAGAGGGCTTCATAGAGAGCATCATGACCTGCAGCAACACTGTCTGGTATGGAAACGGCTCCATCTCAGACTGGAAAGCACTGCAGTGGGTAGTGAAGACTGCCCAGTCCATCACTGGGTCAAGCTTCCCTGCCATTAAGGACATCTACAATAAATGGTGTAAAAGGAAAGCATGCAGCATCAAGAAGGATCCCTCTCATCCACCGCATGGCCTGTTTACACCACTCCCATCTGGAAGAAGACTACAGAGCATCAGGGTCAAGTCCAACAGACTCATGAACAGATTCTTGGATCTACCTGATGGACCTTTAAACATTCTCACCTAAATACCTCCTCAGTCATTCTACTCACTTTATCTGCTGCACTTTAACTTCCGCACTCAGCCACTTTACTGTAAACCTTTAACCTCACTCACTTTATATGCACAGTCACTTTAATCTGTACACTGCCTGAATAATTTTATGACTGCATTACAAACTGTTGTTAATTATCAATAAACAATACACACAGCTCTATCATTGCTGCTGTGGACCAACAGATGGTCTGTTTCCTCTCTTTTGTCCTGAGCTCAATGGTTGTATAGTTGCAGTTATTGTAAATTTAGGGAAAGTTCATTGTACAGTGCTTGTATAGTTTGTGTTGATTGTCTGTCTGCCCTGTTTTCTGCTGCTGTTCTGTGTTAAATGCAGCACCGTGTCCTGGAGAAACTACATTTTGTTCCTCTCTCAACACATCTGTGATGAGAAGATATGACAATAAAGCTCACTTTGACTTTGACTTGAACACTAAAATGTCTCACTGATCAGTAAATACTTACTGATCTCAGGAATCTTCTCCATCTCCTTACTGAGCTGTTCCTGAAGCTGAGACAGAGCTCTCCTCAGAGTCTCCACCCTCAGATGAGTGTTAATCCTGACGTCAGTCCAGTTCTTGGTGTGTGGAGGGCTGCAGAGGGACGGGTAAACCTACAGTCCAGCAGGAGAGAGGAGAAACCCCTCAGCATGGGGAGTGCTGTCCTGTGATGGACTGCATTACTATTGAGAAACAGAGGGACTCTGACCTGTAGGAGGTGGAGGTGGTCCTCAGTGTGGGAGAGCTGCTCCAGCTCAGTGTCTCTCCTCTTTAGCTCAGTGATTTCCTGCTCCAGCTCTTTAATGAACTCTTCAGCCTGCCTCTCTGCTGCTTTCTGCTTCTCCTCCATCACCTCAAGCAGCTCCGCCTGGCTTCTCTCAATGCAGCGCAGCAGAGCTCTGAAGACCTCCACACTGTCTGCTTTCTCCTTCTCTGAGCTTTTCTAACAGGAGACAATAAAAATAAAAATTACCATAAAAGAACAATAGAGAATAATAAAGAAAGTAAAACACTTATACAAGGAAGAAACAAATTGTGAGTAAAACAAGGAATTTTAATGCAGAAAAAGCCATTTTAAGCTTCATTTTTAACTAAGGATATCTGAGGAATGTCTTGCAGGAGAGAATTCCACAGTTTAGAAGCATTAAGTTAAAATATTTACATATTAGAAGGTTTTATAAAAGCTCATTATACTGGATAAGCAGTAACCAATAGATCAACAGCTCACCAGGTGCAACAGAAATGTAATTGCAAATGTTGAAACTGACAAATTTTATTGTTTTTTGAAAAATATATGCCTATTTTGAATTTGATGCCAGCAACATGGTTAAGTTGTGTAATGCTAAAAAACACCTAGTGGTTGATTGATCAGTAACATGACTGGGTATAAAAGAGCATCTCAGAGAGGTGGAGTCTTTCAGAAGTAAAGAGGGGGAGAGATTCACCACTCTGTGAAAGGCTGCATGATCAAACAGTGCAACAATTAAAGAATAACGGTTCTCAACATAAAATAGCAAAGGACTTTTGCTTTTCATCATCTACAGTACATAATATCTTTAAAAGATTCAGAGAATCTGGAGAAATCTCTGTATGTAAGGGACAAGGCCAAAAACCAGTTTTTGCTGGCCGTGATCTTTGGGCTGTCAGGCAGCACTGCATTAAAAACAGACATGATTCTATAGTGGAAATCACTGCATGGACTTAGAAACACTTCTGAAAAACACTGTCTGTGAACACAGTTCATTCACAAATGCAAGTTAAAACTCTAAAAAGCAAAGAACAAACTGTACATAAACAAAATCTAGAAACACCGCCACCTTCTCTGGGCCCAAGCTCATTTAAAATGGACTGAGGGGAAGTAGAAAAGTGTCCTGTGGTCCAACGAATCAACATTTGAAATTTTTTTGGAATTGATGGACAATGTGTCCTCTGGACTAACTCATATGACGGGGTATAAAAAGAGCATTTTAGAGAGTCTCTCAGAAGCAAAGATGGGCAAAGGTTCACCAATCCGCAAAAAACTGCATCTAAAAATTATGAAACAATTTCAGAAATATGTTCCTCAATGTAAAATTGCATAGACTTTGGATATCCCACTATGTATAGTACATACTATCATCAAAAGTGTCACGACTCCTGTAGGCTCTGAACTCTCTATGGACTCCATCTCCCAGAATCCTCTGGGAGATCACGTGATGCCAGCCCCGCTCTTGCGCTCCAACCAGCGCTCCAGTTCCCCAGAGTACTGATTGTTTTCACCTGTTCTTCCCTGATTAGTTCAGCTTAAAGCCCAGGCTTGTAGTTAGTCTCTTTGCGAGGTGTTGCTTCTTCTCACAGAGCTACTGAGCGTTTATTTCTGACTGTCTGTTCCTATTCTGACCTTTCTGCTGTGTGTTTTGACCTGCCTTTTGCCTGACCCCTTTTTGGATACTTTTGCTTGGTTATGTTTGTGTTTTTGTGTATTTTGTCTTTTCTGGATCTGACTATTGCCTGTGACCTGACTACGTTTGTGGATTCTGTCTTCACTAGTAAAGCCTCTCATTCACCTTTTATCTGCAAGCGTCTGCGTCGTTGTGTCGCGTTACAAAAAGATTTAGAGGATCTGGAAAAATCCTTGTACACAAGGGACAAGGCTGATGGTCAATACTGGATGGACCGTGCAATCCATAAACGCAAGTTAAAGCTGTATCATGCAAAGAAGAAATCATATATGAACAGTATCCAGAAACGCTGGCAACTTCTCTGGGCCCAAGCACATTTGACATGGAGGCAAAGTGGAAAAGTGTCCTGTGGTCTAATGAATCAAAATTTGAAATTCTTTTTGGAAATCATAGACACTGCATCCTCCACGCTAAAAACCTCCCAGCTTATTATTAGCACACAGTTCAAAAGCCAGCATCCATGACGGTATGGTGGAGCATCAGTGCACATGGCATGGGTAACTTGCACATCTTTGAAGGCACCATTAATGCTGAACGAAATATACAGGTTTAAGCAACATGTGCTGCCATCCAGACAGTGTCTTTTTCAAAGAAGGCCTTGCATTTTTCAGCAAGACAATGCTAAACTACACCAGCATCCACCACAACAGCATGGCTTTGCAGAAGAAGAGTCCAGGTGCTGAACAGACCTGCCTGTAGTCCAGACCTTTCACCAATAGGAAACATTTGGAGCATCATGAAACAAAAAATCTGGCAAAGTACAGTAAAGGACTGTTGAGCAGACAGAATCCTACATCAGACAAGAATGGGTCAAACTTTCTCTTCCAAAACTGCAGCAATTGGTCTCCTCACTTCCCAGATGTTTACAGGCTGTTGTTAAAAGAAGAGGGGATGCTACACAATGGTAGACACGGCCCTGTCCCAACTTTATTCAGATGCGTTGCTGCCATCAAGTTCTAAATGAGTTAATATTTTTCATGAAATGGTAAAATGTCTCACTTTCAGTATCTGATATGTGTTCTATGTTCTATTGTGAATAAAATACGAGTCTATGAGATTTACATATCATTGCATTCTATTTTTATTTATATTCTGCACAGCGGCCCGTCTTTTTTGGAAACGGGGTTGTATGTACAAGTAATATCACTTCAGAACATTTCCAGACAGTCCAGTCTGTACTGATTTAGGATGTCAAATGCAACATATTCAAGAAGACGAGCACTGATACTGTATTTTCCTAACTATTCTGTCATTCGTCACTGACAACTTCTGTCAGAATTGATATAAAACCTGACTGAATTGTTTTCATAGAGAAAGACATGTTGAAATTCAGTTGAGACTCACCTTGTTAAGCTCTACAGACTCTTTCATTTCCTCAGTCTTCTTCAGTCAGTCCTGAATCATCTGCTGAACTTCTGCCTGTGTCTTTCCCAGCTGAGTCTATAAAAAAGACAAATTAGAACAATTCCATGCATTAATTAGAATAACTTTCCTTATGCAAAAACAACAGAGAAGAGTTAAAATTTCTTTGAGTGTCCGTCACCTTCCTCTCTCCACTCTCCTCCTCTATAGGAACAGTGCTGTGAGTCTTGTGGTCTGTCTCAGTGCAGAGCTGACACACACTCGTCTGGTCGTCTCTACAGAACAGCTCCAGGGGTCTCTCATGTTTCTGGCAGATGTAGTCCTCCAGGTTCTCCACAGGGTCCATCAGTTTGTGTTTCCTGAATGAAGCGATTCTCTCATGAGGTTCCAGATGAGTCTTGCAGTAAGAGGCCATACAGATCAGGCAGGACTTCAGAGCTGCACTTTTTTCACAGCAGGCATCGCAGAGAACCTGAGATTTGTCAGGTTTCTCTGGAGCTCTGCTGGATTTGACCTGAACTGACTTCTTGAACTGAGCAGCCAGTCTAGAGATGAACGCGTTCACGGATAGTTCAAGTCTTGTTGGGAATTCTGTCTTACAAACTGGACACTGGCAGCGTGAACTGCTGTCCCAGCACTCTTTGAGACAGACCATGCAGAAGTTGTGTCCACATGGAGTAGAGACTGGATCAGTGAACACATCCAGACAGATAGAGCACTGGGGCTGATCTTCAGACAGGAGACTGCTGGAGGAAGACATGACTGACAGAGGAGACACAGAGACACCATGAGGGAGATTTGAGACCAAAGAAAACTTCCTACATCTTTCTTAGTCAATGCGTATAAAGTGTTGTGTGATGTTTATATAAATGTAACCAATAAGGGTGTTTCTTAGGAAGTGTAATGATCTTAAATCAGTCACATTAGTCTGACTGATCAGATTCACATTCTACCTGTTAATCATGAATCTGTAGCTGAACAAATGATCACAGCTTCAAATGTTAAATACAATTAACAGAATTAGAGCATTTAAAATGTAATAAAATAACAGAGAAAACACGAACAACAGTGATGGCAGAAATGATCTGAACATCTGGATGTATTTTCAGTAACAGACAGTAAGAAACTTAGACTCATTACCACTTTCACTTTCTCTCCTTTGGTCTGCTTTTCTGCTTCTTCAGTTTATCTTTAACTGAGTTTCCTGAATGGAGAACCTTCAAATTGAAGATCGTGTCCAGTTGCAACGAACTGAATTCTGTTTATGAAACAGCTCTGCTTTACCTTCGTCTCTCCTGCGTGACGTCATGAGGCCACTCCCGCTTTATCATGACGGTGGTTTGTTGTACTTGCAGGTTTTGGCCAGCAGGAGGCGGATATTTACCAGCTGAATTACATCATCCCAATCTGCTTTTTCTAATATATCAAAACAAATATGTAAATATGTATAAATAAGTCATTCATCCGTGGGAAAATATGTTAATATAATTTAACAATTCTATAATATATTACACACTTCATGCTAGTTATGCTGGTTTGCTGAGTGTCTGATTTTAATCTCAAAATGTATGGAAAGTGAATAACCAAGTTTTTCCATAATCCAGTAAAATTCTTCATTAATTCATCTGAAAATTAAAGTAAAATTAAAAATGAAAGTAAATACTTTTTTTGTGGTGTTGACGGGTCATGTTCAAGTTTCAGGATGCCCCCTAGCCGCCTCCCGGTGGAGACAGGGCCCCAATGTCGTTCTAGGACCCACTGGAGGGATTATATCTCCAAATTGGCCTGGGAGCAGCTTAGAGTGCCCCCTAGCATAGTGGCTGGACAGTGTTCATTAGTGCCTTGATTGTCTGTTCCAAACAACAGAAACACCAACGGAACCTCAGAACCACTGAAGGAACCACAGAACAATCAGTGACTTTGTGAAGAGTTAGTTAGCTGGTACCAAAGATGCTAAATTCACTAAATTAAAGGTTTATTACATTAAATCTAGACGAGCAGAGTGTAATCCCCCTAAACTCGCTCTGACTGAATCTCTGAGTCTCACTGATGGAGAAGATGATAAAGTTCACTTGTGAACGCATCACTGAATCAGATATTTGATTAAATGAAATGAAGAGTCTGAAACATCTGGATCAGTAAACTTAACTGTAAAATTACTGAAGTTTTGATGTTATTGGGTCACTGTGACTGTTCTGTACTGTTCACCTGATGAGTAGTTGTTGAAGTCAGTGTGAAAAATGCTCACAGCACTGTAGTGAGCACAGTGAGGCAGTGCTGGGTGTGAATTCTCCACCACATATATAATACATAATGCAAATACACCTATTTACACATCTGTTACTATTATAATGAACTTGACTCTGGGAGGATTCTGCACTGTTACATCAGGTCTTGCTGGACTGGACTTATTGTTTGTGTCTTTGATTAAGGGGCCCAAAATGTCTGCGTTCAGAACTTTTGGCTGGGTTATGATCACAAAAACACTCTGTTACATTAATTATCCACAAAATGCCTCCCAGCTGCACTGAATGTAATCCTGCTTCTTTATCAGCTAATGCTTGTTATGAATGACTGCTTACTATAAATCATTCTGTGTCTACTATAAATTATTCAGTGTCTACTATAAATTATTCAGCGTCTATTCTAATTTTTCAGTAATTGCTATAAACGTTCAACAATCAATTTAAATCGATCATTATCTACTATGAATTATTCAATGTCTCATATAAATCGTTTGGAATCTGCTGCATATTATTCAGTAACTAAGGGCCAAAATGCATAATCACAGAACTGTACGGTGGACAAACATGTCATGAATCTCATTATTAGATCCAAATCACAGGCCAGTATTTTTCACCAAGTTATTTTGATTCCTAAGGCAGTTTAGCAAACTTTTCTCCTCAGTTCACTTTTTCATTTTCTGACTTTTTATGAATGCAACAAAATTACACCAAACATCCAGATTGTGTTTATAATAACATCTCAGCACGTTCGAGAGAGTTTGCACAGTCAGGCATCTTCTCTGCTGCAGCAACGCTGGAAATAAACCAGCATTAAACTAAAACACGTTTCTTTAATTGATCACATCAAAAACTTTAAATGAGTTCAGTGAAGATAAGCGCTTAAGGTCCACTTGTATGTGATTAATCTCCATTCAGCTCATTTAAAAGTCTTATAGATGATAATATATAATGCAGTTTGTTCAAACTTTATTGAAAATATATCTGTTTCATACAACACAGAATTATACTGAATTAACTTTGCACTGATTCGTCAGACTTTTCATGACCCTCTGTCTGTTACAGTGAACCCACCCATGGGGTTAACTGTAACCTTGCGCTTCCCATCATTTTTAATTGTACTGAACGGTAGGAGCTAGAAACAAAGTTTAGGAGTTCGTTTGTAGCAGAGATGTGTGTGTTGCTTTCATAAAAATATGATTATTCTAACTTTTAATATTTTAAGTATCTTTTAGTGAGTTGTTGGTATCAAAAAGTCAAAAGAGCATTAGAAACATAATTTGTTATCACTATAACAGGTCTAAATATACTATACTATTATTATACAACAGTTAGTTCCAGCCACGCAAGCTGATTGGTTGAGAAGCGTTCTAACTGTGCTGTTATTTCACCATAACATCACAGTTTTTTACACTGCATCACTCCGCTGAGATACTGTTGCTAAGCAACGACTTTGACAGCTGTAGGAGATGCTCAAGACATTTGAACGTTTTTTCTTCTTACTTTGCCACAAACAGAAAATGGACACTTTTAAGGTCACATTTGACCGACAGCCGATTTGGTCAGACTCTGAAGATGAGAAGACACTAAATTCCCAAACTGTCATCACCACTGAGCAGCTTTTCAGTCGGCAGCTGAGACAGAAGAACAGCTAAACATGAAATGAACCCAATACCATTTGCCAAACAAAACGGGCTGTAAGATGCTTTACAGACTGGCTGGAACAAAACAACATCAATACTGATCTGGCAAAAATTGACAAAACTGAGCTAAACTTGATATTGCAGCAGTTTTATGGCTCAGTCCGATTTGTTCAGGCTCTGAAGATCAGACTACACGTTTGGCGAATGGTACTGGGTTCATTTCTGGCTGATTCCAGGTTTGGATTCCAGTCTGTAAAGGTTCTTCTGTCACAGCTGCCGACTGAAAAGCTGCTCAGTGGTGATGACAGTTTGTGAATTTAATGTAAGGTCATAAATCACTGTTAGATTCGAGTTTCAAAGCCTCTGTAAACATCAACACAAACTTTAACCGAAGTAATTCACAAATAACTGCTCTTATTTACAGTATTTTCAGTTTCTACAGTGAAAATGAAGAAAACCGCCTCACGCAGCGCTGAAAGGATCAACTTCTGCAGCGCGAGCACAGGCTGAGACCACACGCGCCAGAAAACTCACATGAACTCCTTGAAAGTCGACAGATCTCTCAAATACAGCTCAGTCTCGGTTCACCGTCTCACTGCTACAGTTAGAAGAACACGTTCAAACGCATTTATACCGCTGGTGTTCAGCTCGCTGCATGTATGTCAATACGAACTTAGCTTAGCATGACCGACTACAGCATCAGCAACGCGACACACTGAGCGATGCGAAAATCCAGCTTTGTGACCGTGAAGGTCGCCGGTTCGATCCCCTCAGCTGACAGCACGTGACCGAAGTGCCCTTGAGCAAGGCACCTAACCCCCAACTGCTCCCCGGGCGCCGTGGAAAGGGCTGCCCACCGCTCCGGGCAAGTGTGCTCACTGCCCCCTAGTGTGTTTGTGGTGTTTCACTGCACGGGTGGGTTAAATGCGGAGGTCTAATTCCGATGTGTTCAGACACAGTTGGCTAAAAAAGGTTCATTTCATTCATTCTTAGTGATCAGAGTGTTTTTGTGTGTTTATTTGTTTTTTCGAGGGAGTTTTTTTTATTTTCTCAATTTTTGCTCCATCCTCTAGCTCGGTCTCCCTCAATCACATGAAAAATAAGACATATTTTTATTCCATATTTTACTTTGAAAGGTTATGTAAGCATTAATTTAAAAACTTTATAAACCTCTGCTTATAGTAAATTCAGACGAGAAGAATTCAAGAAGAACAAATTTTATTTTATAAACTTTTCAAAGGTGACGAAAGTTGTCTTAAAGTTGTCAGTGAGCAGAAACTCCCCTAATTCATATTATGTGGTAAATATTGGGGTGAACTGAGTGATTAAACAGCACTTCACTATAATTTAGCACATTGGGGCCACTTGACTGTAGCTTCTCCCTCACTGGTCAGCAGTGAGAGTAACAGATGTAGAATGATGTTTGAAGTTGTGCTCTGACGTCATAATGGACTAAAGGCTACAGGGTGTGATGTCATAAAGGTGATGCAGATAAGTTCCGTCACACGGCTGTTTCACAACATTCCGTGTGGAGCCGCGAAGAGATCAGCTGCTACAATGAGCTGCCTCTGGTTCTTGTGCTGCCGAGTCCATGAGGACTCGGACACAGACAGCGAGAGAAAGGAGGAGCGGCAGAGTGAGAAGAAAAAGAAAGGAAAGAAGAAGAGGAGCGAAAGGAAATGGAAAATTCAGTGGAAAAAAGAAAGGAAGAACAACAAAGAGGAAGAAGTAGAAAAAGAAAAGAGGCAAACAAACCAGCAGCCAGTAAATGTGGAGGAGGAGGCCGATGTTCTGGACCTGCCAGTAGGCCTCGTGTCCGGCAGCCTTCAAAGCGTTTCGGCTGAGACGCTGAAGAACACGGCACCTCCACAACAGCAGAACCTCACTGAAGAGGAAGGTGAAGCCAAAGAACATCCAATGAAAACGCTGCTGGATGAGGTTGAGACACACATGGAGCAGCTTCTGAGTGAGTTAATGAGATAATATTCAGAACAGACACTGAATAAAAGTAGTGATAACCAAATATTCATATTAGATACAGATTAATTCATAGCAGATACTAAAAAATTCATAAGAGATGCTGAATAAATCATAGGGGATGTTGAACAAATCATGGTAAGTACTGAATAATTCAAAGTGGATACTGAATAATTTACAGTGGACAATGAATAATTCATAGTAGTCACTAAATATTCATAGTAGATACTGAAAAATTCATAGTAGTCAGCAAATATTCATAGTAAACACTGTAAAATTCATAGTGGGTACTGAATAATTCATAGCTGTCATTAAATATTCAAAGTAGAGACTGAATAAATAATTGCAGATACTAAATGATGTATAATGAAGACTGAAAAGTTCATAGTAGTCACTAAATATTAATAGTAGATACTAAATAATCCACCATGGATACTGAATATTCATAGTGGACAGTACACAATTCATAGTGGATGCTGAATAATTCATAGTGCATACGGAATAATTTATAGTAATTACATAATAATTTATAATAGACACTAAAATTCAAAATAATCATGAAACGTTCATAACAGAGACTGAATAATTCTCAATACTCACATAATGATTCATAGTAAATACTGAATTCATATGAGATATGGAAAAATTCATATTTC